AGTAGGGTTGGACAATGGAAAGCTCAGTTGGTAGCGCTACCTCCATGGTAGCAGCATCAAACCCCACTCAGGTCAATGTCTTCCTGCAACGTTAAAATTAAATTCTAGATGAAACTGTTACTGCTTACTTAAGTACACATTTTCACCGAGCTTTTTTTCTGTAGGTTTAACTTTATTCATAATCATAGAAAAAAAAAACAATCTACGGTATGTACAATGTATGCATGCACAAAATGTAGTATGTATAAACTGACTGTTTGAACATTTGAGTAACGTTTCTGTAAAAGATCAGTAAAAATTGTAAAAGAGATATACTAATCCTTTCCAATGGTTTCTTCCCTCAAAATTACGGGCCACATATTATATTTTAACTGCGCATGTAACACAAAATTATTCAGACAAAAATTGTATTCCATTCACAGGAGTACCGTATATCAGCAGTTCCCTGTCATTATTTCAAGCATTTTACTGATGAGTACAAACAGCCCTCTCCAATCACTTTCAAACATCAAGTCAGAGTTGACATTTAGCTGGCCCACTTGGGATCAGTAATTTCCCTAGCCCTGGGCAACCTGCTAGAGCAATATTACAACACAGCTACACACTAATCTGATTATAATTGGCATTGACAATAACCATTGGCAGTAGTATCCTTCCCCCAGAACATTGACAAGAACTCTGACACCTGGATGTGCCCTTCAGCAGAGCTCAGAGGATCACAGTGGTGGTGGGCTGAAGGGCTGAAAGGGCTGAATGGAGTAACAAGAGTTGTCCAACTTGTGGAAGTATTTGTTATCAGTCATATCAGCCTGACCCAAAATGATTTCAAATATTAATTTAGCCTCTATTTACTCAAGTGACTGGTCCATAGAGACTCGAAAGTGGTTGGACAATGCAGCGTTCACTGTAAACTGTAACAATCTGTTACTTGTTGGGTACAATGTACCGGTAGGTTTGAGCAATTCTTATAAACATGAACAGTGATCGAGTTCAGTGTAGACATGCAGACTTCTGTGTGACAAACGGTCCAAAAAGTATTTCCATTTACGTTCAAATGAGGGACGAGTCGCCATTGTTCTCACTTACATGCTCATGAGACAAGCTCAATGTCAAGTTTATTATAAGTAAATTGACAATAGGTAAATGGCCGACTTGAATACATTTGCATTAAACTGGCAACAGCTCAACGCAAATGTGTTCAGTTGAGATAGGGTTTCGCTTTTGGTACACATTTCGAATTTTTGTTAGAATGATACATGTATGTCTACCGGTATAACACTACGTAAAAATACCAGTACCTAGCAAAATGCACAAAGTCTGTCATTGACTACTTGCAATGGATCATTCTTTATAAACCATCTTGTCAAAAACAGGACGCATGCTTCAATCCTTTCATTTACATCTAACACCAACATGCAACACTCTCAAAAACTTCTATTTGTACACGTACCGTAGTTTATTGTAAATATGCACTCACATGTGACTTAATCATTCAGGTTCAACTATAACACTCAGACAAACTGTCTGCATCTGATGGGGTGTATTGACCTTGCGCACTATTGTGGAAGGAATTTAACTACCTGCTGACGAGCAGTTATATCTAGTGATGGATATTCCCGGATTAGGCTTTTTATTCTGTATATAATGGGTTCTTTTTAGAATTAAACACTAAAATGTCGGCAGAGTGTATTTAAATACCAAGTTAAAATTCCACAATGTCCCTGACTTAATGAGGGCAAGGACGTGTAAATAGCAGTGGCAGAATAGTCTGTACAAGACTCAAGGTGTTCTCAAATATTCACCATGATTCATACATTGTAAATAAGATAGAAAAATCAAACTCGAATAAAATGTTGTGGTTTTAATTTTGTCAGATAACTTGAGAAAACTTTCAATTATAGTATTTTTAATTTCAGATTTTGCTTAATTGCAAATATATCCGGACAAACCTTCAAAGAGTAATACCTGTATGTACAACCAGCACAAGTATGCATTAATATAACAGATCTATGGTTTAAATTGAAAAAGTTTGAATAATTCACCAGTAAGCCAATGACATTTTTTCAGTTCAACCACATTATGTGCAAAGCATTTGAAATCAAACTTTTAATGTACATTACAGATGTAATGAATGACTAGTGCAAAACTGCAACTGCTGCCACATGTCATGGGAATGCAAACGATTTGATGTCGCAAAACAGTCGATGGAATCGTGTTCAACTTTCGCAAATTCCCAGCGGAGAAAACAAAATGTTGGAGAATGCCTTGGTCATCTGATGGTGGCCAGCAAAGCATACTGTTGGGAAATGCTGAGTTTCCACAGGTTCTTCTCAAACTACACAAACTCAGGCAACATGCAATAGGATGAGTACAGCGCACAGCTGCATTGCATACTTTAATTTCATGCATTTAGATTTACATATGTGTACAAACATTGTACAGTAGAACACCATTATGACGAACATGATGGGGTCCATAAAAAAATATTTGTTAACGAATAACGTTTGGTCGTTCATTGTAGTGATTTTGCATTATCATAAAAATGTATATTTTGGGAGCCAAAGGAGACGTTCGTTATAGCCAAATGTTCATTATAGCAGTGTTGTTTTAGCGGCATTTCACTGTACTAATACAATTTTTGTTAATTGAACTATTGGTACATGTACCGGTATTAAAAACCGATCGATTGTTCATACAATTTGGTAATTATTCACAATCTTGACCTTTTTCTTTTCTCAACTTAGAGAATGACCTACATGTAATCAACTACAGTAAATCTGAACCCACATGTCTGATCAGTCAAAAGATCCTGCATTGTACTCAATACATGTACATGTACATTGCATACAGCTAGTACATGTAGATGGACAAAGATATAATGTTTACAGTTAATCCTACTCTTCATTGCCTAGCACTGAAGCAGTAAACACAGGTCAACAGTCTGTATGGCTGACAAATCCCTCTTCAAGAAGCTATTCCCTGTTATATTCCCTGCTATTCAAGCCAAATGATGTTCAGCTGGTGCTCCAACATGCAGGTACACAATAGTGGCTTTGGATGTCAATTAGAGGGCTTCCATAACCCACAACAAAGGATTGTGGTGTCAATGCTGGGCGCTATCATGACATTAGCCAGACCAGGGCATATATCGGTACATGTATATTATAGTTTATACAGTAGTATGAAAAGTCTCATTTTACTCTCTGATTCTAGTAACACTTCACTTGAGTTTTGCCGAGCCACAACTCAGGTTAAGGGAAATACATGCATCCTTGTACGTTTTTATTCCTCCATGGTTAAAGATCCATCAAATTTTGTTTAATGCATACGAAACAAACAAGTGACTTCTTAAGCTCTAAGATCAGGCCCGGTTAAGTTACAAGGCTTGATTAATCATAGTGATGACCATGGTTCCTCTCTTGTAAAGACTAGGATGTGATAGTGGCGTGAAAATTACATGTACAGCATTCTGATGTTAAAAAAAATCCATTAGTCCGCCATGCATACAACAGCTACATGCAATGTACATTGTATGTCATCCACACTGCTAACATTAACGCCACATTCTCCTAACTTCACACACCAGGGTAGAGGTAGTGTACATGTAGATGTATTGGTATTGGAGTAGTGAGATATCCATCTGCATACATGTAAGTTTTTGTAACAGTTGTAATGGAGCGATTAGCCCAACTGCGTCTGGCCGTACGGTACTATCGCAAGCTCTGTAGTACGGCCAGACAGCCAATGCTCCCCTACACGCTGAACTCTGATGTAGCGATTTTGCTACCGATTTTGATCGAGATTATCTTTTTATCCAGGACAGAAATTTCCAAACTTAAGGTTCCTACTTGTAGAGGAACTCATACCTTTTCGAAAAAACGTTCTTTTATCCCGAAATCTTCATCCATCTGGTCAAAAGATGACATTCAGTCATCATCGCCCACGAAAATCATCCCGAAATTTTCCCCCCATGCGATTTCAAAATGGCGGCCGCATTGTAATGTATGCAATATGCGGGCGTGCTTGGGTAAGGTTATGAATATGCATTATTCAGTTCATGACCTCGTGTTTGTATGGCCAGCTGCGCCGCGCGCCCGACAAACGTCATGAAATTCAATGCATATTCTTAACTTGCCCAAGCGCGCCCGCATAATGCATACATTACAATGCGGCCGCCATTTTGAAATCACACGGAGGAAAATTTTCGGGACGATTTTCGTGGGAGATGATGACTGAATGTCGTCTTTTGGCCAGATGGATGAAGATGTTGGGATAAAAGAACGTTTTTTTCAAAAAGGTATGAGTTCTTCTACGACTAGGAACCTTAACTTTGGAAATTTCTGTCCTGGATGAAAAGATAATCTCAATCAAAATCGGTAGCAAAATCGCTACATCAGAGTTCAGCGTGTAGGGGAGCATTGGCGGTCTGGCCGTACTACAGAGCTTGCGATAGTACTGTACGGCCAGACGCAGTCGGGCTATGGAGCGATGTAATCCACTACACACTTTTTTGAAGCTGGTGTAATGCTTGTACACTGTACATGTACATGTACTATATTACCATACACCGAAACCTTATAGTGACCCAATGGGGGCATCCATAACAAAGGTTGTAATACTCTGCTAGTCACACCAAACTCAGATCTGTTATTCGGATTCATATTTCCAGCACAAGACTACTCAGCGACAGTGTGCTTTCAAATGCATTGTGCACATTTTTTATGAAACTGCACAGGTAAAACCCATGAATTAAACAAATCTGCACACGTTTATGAACCAGGCTTTAAATTCACAGCATATTTTGAGATTTCTAAATTTGGTCTCAACAAAGTCTACAGGTGTCTTACATGTATCACAATTAACACTAAACGCAGTTCAGCATTTTATCATTTACGGGCTAAATGCAATACTTAATTTATACACAGTACTGCACGGCACAATTTTGCAGAAATCATGAATACACAATTCTTGTAGAAATGTCCTGTTAATACAAAACTTACCTGCACTTGAGTTGGTATAAGATGGCGACTGTGCAGATGATGAAAAATTATAATCATCTGCACTCAGGTCAGATTGGGAAAAACTGCTGCCTGTCCTCCCTGATCAAGAAAAGGGGGAAATGAAACCAGAAACTTGCAATTACTTAGCGTGTCAGGTATAAAATATCTATTCTAAAAGACAAGTTAGTAAAATGGAATGCTCCAAATTTTAGATGTCTTACATGTACATATGACAAGCCAACCTAAAGCTGAAGAGGGTTGGAAACCACACTAATACACTGGCATAAATAGGACTGTATGGTGAGACAACAGAGGGTACATTAACATGTAGTATGCCCCAATGGAGTCTGCGACAAAGATTTTCATTTTATATGTCTGACCTACATGTACAACATGTCCGTACATGTACATGTGTTGACCTGTAGGCTCTGTAGCAATGAGAAGGAAAATGGGAGCAAAGCCTTAGTTCATAAAGTATCCATAATTTCAATGTTTAACAAACTTTTAATAATGCCTTCATTAAGACATCCATCCATGAAATCACCGACAAGGTTTCTCTGTAACAACCAAAATGTTGCATTGATAAATTGATCATACTCGGACATGTATAGTGTCAGACCTGTATCAATTTCTATATATTGCAATATTGCATCTATACAAGGGCCTCAGGGCTTTCAAAAAATACCAAATGTGAGGGTACATGTAGCTAAAATATCCTATGTGGCTGCAGTCTTCATTACTGTGGTATAGAATGGATCGTTTGGGTTTCCGTAATACAACTGTACACATGTACCATTGGGGTGATTACTTGCAAGTGAGTGGGAATAAACTTGTACTTAATCTACATGTACATGTACTGCATGTATTTCTAATTTGTCTGTCTGAAATGCCTACTTGTTTGTTAACTCAAAAGATATAAACTGGAAAAAAAAACTGATTTGTCACTTGGCCAGACCTTTTACTTTATGGCAAATTCTAAGTTCTAACTAACAGTACACAATCACGTGACTAGGTAAAAACATATCGTCGCAGAGCTGACATACCGACGAATAAGCGAAAACCCTGTTTCGAGTAATTAGCGTTTGAAGTTGGACATTTTTGTGGGCGTCGTATTTCACCCTTAATGTTTCGATAATAACCCTTTTGGCGTATATTCGAAATAAAATAGGAAACGTAGTATACATCAGGTTACTTATTTAATCAGAGAACTTGTGCGATATGTTTTTATTTGATAGTAAACGTATTTGTCAGTTTGTCAAATTACAAAATCCCAAGTAATAGCCAGTTGTTCTTCACACTGTTTGTATGCTATTCGTTTGTTTGTCGGATCGCATGCGCACGACAAACTGACGAATAGCATTCGTTGGTACTTGGAACGCACACCTTACATTAGCTGGTTACCAGCAAAATTCCGTATTCGTCACTATGTCAAATTATGGATTATTGTGACTGATTCGCCATAGGCGGGGCTCTGAATCTTAAAATCCAGACAAGAATTAGGAATTTTGGCATAAATACTTGAAAGAGCAACCTTTAAAAACCACAAAAATAACAAAATCTCAAAATCGCCAAAATGGTCGATTCGCCGGTATGTCAGCTCTGCGACGATATCATGAATGCTTGTTAATTGTGTCCGGCACTGTATAACTGCCATCTTCTAATCAACCCCACCTTAATAAACATCTGTGATTTTTACAAGTGCCATTCCAATCATAAGTGACAACTTGAAGTGTCTCTCACTACTTCAAATTCTTCCCAAGCATGCACTTATGTTTCAGAAGTGTACAAGGAATCAATCATGTTGCCTACACCTTCACATGCAGCAGCTTGTGAGCACAATATTCCCAGATTAAAGAGCACTTCTTGCCTACTACATGTACTGGTACATGTACAGGTACATGTACAGTACATGAAGGTCTGCTGGGCTATGACACCCCACAGCATGCACAGATCAATGTGGCCTGTTCAGCTCATGTTCCATTTGTTCTCAAAGCACTCCATAATACCATAATACAAACATACGCATAGCAAAGGCCTTGTGTCTTTGCCCCCAGCATGCCATCTCATGTCATTCTTGTAACAATTTGCACTCCCGGCTGGCACTCCATCAGCAGACTTTGAAATTTAGGCCATGATTTTAGGCGAGGTGCATCAGAAATGCTGAGTAAAAGGCCAGGAGACCTTATCACTAATGTAGTGACAGGGTATAAGGGAGAATGGGAAATTTGCAAGTCTTGTGACTGGTTCATGTTAAGCCTGATAACCTGACAATGTTTACTGTGTATTTTGTCATAATTTTCACAAGAACCAGGATTTTGGAAGTCGGGTGTTTTGGTTTTCTTTTTTCTGATCAAACCCATCTCAATGAAGGTACCATACATTTGGTTTCAAGCAGTTATCAACAGATCCAGTCAGTTTCATCCATATTGAGCCCAATATGAACTGCTGAAACTAATAGTTGCCACTTTTCAATTGTTCATGCAAAAAAAGAATATGAGCAAACCGACCTTGAGAAACAAGAACAAATTATGACAGTCCATCGTCACCTGAGAGACATATCAAATACAGGACAATAAATCTCAAATGCTACATGAGTTGGGCTAAGTGCAATCATTTATCAACTCGGACACCTGTAAGCTATTAGGAGCTGTTGGCTGGGTAAATAGCCACTACACATTAACAAGTTTGTCCACAGATAAACCTGTTGGTTAGATGATCATGGAGCAAGGATGGATGGGTGATCTGCCAAATTCCATGCATGTACAGCATAAATCAAATGGAAAAACACTGTGATTTATACAACAATCACACAAACTTATGTCATGTATGTGTGCATTTAAATTAAGTGTTGAGCTGTTTCTCTTGCAATACATGTATATGGCTGCTTGGCCAAATCATTCAGGAAAGTAAACATTTCCAGGTGACAACTGCTCTATCCTTTATAACAATGGCCAGCTTAAATTGAACCCTACTGATACCAGAACAGGTCAGACCTGTGTTTACGTGATAAGTGAGTCTGAGGTTTGTATTGGTTTGTATTGGACTCACAAATTTGATTTGAAATTCGAAAAAATCTGAAGGGCTTCAAATTAACGTTTATGCACACAAAATATAGAAGAACAGATTAACAATGTATAAACTGTGTTCTAAGCAACAAGGGCAAATACCTTCATACATGTACATGTACATGTACAATATACATGTAGAATGAATTTGGACAGTTCAATAGAACTTACTTTAAATAGGGCACGTCTAGCTTGACTCTGGCACATAAATGTGCCTTCAATAAATACTGTGTTGAATTATGGCAGTGTGCAGTTACAGTCTCTGAATAATAGATTGAACATGTATCAAGTTTCTCCAATCACTCAACCCTTCACATATCCCCCAGGAATGAGCATAAAAAACAAAGTACTTTAAGAAGTAAGTGGAAAGAGCAGACAGCCCGTGATATATGATGTGCCACAGGCTACGAGTGATGGTATCTGTCAGTACTCCGTTCTAAAAAAGACCCCATGACACAGTCATATTACTAATACTCACTGTCTGTTGCAGAATCATACGCTTTTCCATTTTGCGCGCCCATCCTGTATCGTTTATTTCCAATACATGTATAAAGTGGATGTGGACTGTCGCAGGTACGGTGGTGTCTTCTTTCTCACAATTGTTCTGTCCAAGATGTCAAAAGGTGTAATGATCGGATCCAAAATGATCAGCCCGGTTGATCATCTCGGCAATGTGGCTCCATAACACTTCAAGCCCCTGTCCGGTACCCACTCGGCTGGTGATCAAACCCTTGATGTAACAATGCCCATTGCCCAAGTGACAGTGGGGTGGTACTTTGCTTTCAATGGCGCACTGAGAGGTTCACAGTTGGTGGACACACACCGGCCATTCAGACACCTGGTGTGAAAGAATGTAAAGAATAGGAGTTAGGTCTGGCGTTAATCAGGAAGGGCCTGCTGGTTTGACATTGAGACTGCTTGGATAATGTTTGTTTTTCTGGCCTGGCAGGGGAGACAGCAATTAAGAACTTTTTGGGGGTGCGCTTCCTTCAAAAGAAATGTTTGTATTTGAACTGTTGAAACCAACTCCAGTTAGTTGCTACGGCAAGATTAAAATCGGCTAGAACTCTGAAAACAGGAATTGCTTCTGTGTTCTTTTGGATCTAAAACTTATTGAGAGAAAACTTAATTTTAGTTCAAATGAAATAGGTGAAATATTAAAAGCATACAAATGTCTAATGAAATTGAATGTCTTTACAAATGTGTGGATGGTACCAGTATGTAACACTGTCTTAAATTGGAAATTTAATGTAAACATTGAATAAAAAATGAACATGCATGTGCAATGTACATGTATGTTAATTTGTTTGTTCAATGTTTACATTAAAATTTAGTACATTGTACATATACCGGTATAAGCACAGTAAACAACCCTTACGAATGTTACCCATTCTGACATACATGTATGGTAGGTTTTGACTTTCAGTATTCACTGAAATTTCTTAATTTAATAAAATAACTATGTTGTGACCAGTACCGATAGATGTACATGCAGCTTCACTCTATAAAAACACCAATGAAATTTTACAAAAAGCTATCGATGTTATGGAAACACTTTGTTTTGTTGTTGTACGGATGTTACATTTTATATAACGTTACAGACGTTATGTATTTGTACATGGATGTATGTACATGTAGTGTGTTTGAAATCAAATTTACACACGTGATAAAAAGCATACTGAGTCATGGTTTTCTAATTTCTGTTATTTTTTTTTTTTTTATAAAATATGAACCTCTCTCTACCTTAAAAACAAGAACTCACAGTAACCCTTGCATTTTACCTAAAATCCATAATCCTAGCCCCAACACCAGTTTTTGACCTCTAAATTACATTTTACCACATCCCATCTCACTGGCAAACCACTCAAATGAAAGATATTGTTGTCCCCTTTATTTGATACCACATTTAAGGTTGTAATGCTTTTACAGGTAGTTCTGAAGATTTCATAAATTTTCCACTTTTCAGGGATGCCCACTTTCCCATGGAATTACCTTTTTTCTAATTGAAGTTTGAAATTTTCATTGAAACACTTCATTCAAAGGGAAGAATTCAGTATCCGGCCACCACTTATTCGCCGTCAAAAACAACAATTTTCACCTCACCATGTGCTTTCATGGAATTGGAAGATGAATCCATGAGGCTTTGGAAAACTGAAAGCATCCAAACGAAAATGTGTTTTTAGGGCCGGCACACCGGCACATTTTGGGTGCACACATCGTTCGGACAGCCGATCGTGTAGGCAGCCTTATTGAAGAATCTGGAAGTATGCGGTGCACATGACAACGCACTAGCCAATAACATGCGATACCTTAAAGTCATGAATATTAAATTTCTCATGAATATTTAACTTATTAAATATTCATTAGTGTTATTTCAACGGACATCTTCAAATGGACTCTCAACGGCAACAAGCACACATAGTCGAGTGGATAAGAAGTCCTGTAATTAGAAAGTTTCTCCCTCCCCCCAGGTTCGATTCCCAGCAAGAACAATGGATGTTCGTAAGTGACTACATTTGTAGAAGAGGGAAGGAGAGAGGTGAGAGTCGAGGAGGGACAGAAAAAAAATAACAATGTCATATATAAATGTAAAATTTATTGAAAAAAGTGGCGGCCGGATACGGAACTCTTTCCATAAAATGGTAATCGTTATCTTTAAGATCCAATTCCTACAACATGTTTTTAAGACTCACCAAAACAGCTGACTTAAAGGGAATGTACATCATTGGCTTTTGCTGTAATTTTCAGAAAATGACTATTTGAGGGGTTAGTATAATAGATCAAATATTGTTACACTGACATTTGTGGAGTTTTGTGTTCGAAATTGCTGGAAAAACTAAGAATTTACACAAAATTTTCAAGTAGTCTGGTTCCCTGACTTCACTAAAGATGAAATGGATCAATTTATAGATGCCGGAAAAGTGTAAGGTAAGGGAACCAGTCTAGCTGGCCTGCAACAGTTCATGAACATGTAACCAATAGCAAACACAATTTGAAATTAAAAAAATGCTAAATTGGGAGCAGAAGTTGAAAAATAGTAAGGTTTTTCCAACGGTGGTTGGCCGACCACCGTTGGAAATTTATACAGAAATACCACTTTCCTTGAAAATGACATCACAACAGGTGCCATAATATTACAGGATGCTTTAGATTTTCATTTGCCAACATCCTAGTAAGGTATTTCGTAAAAATTTGGTAGTTTTGTTTTTCGATGTTTGCAAATGTTATATTCCCTTTAATGACACTCGAAAGGGACATTCTGATATTTCTCGACATATCCTATCTGGTAATGACACCCTCTTGAATATCAGCAGATTTCATTTTGTGTAAAGAGGGCAGGGCATTGATTTATGAGGGAAATTACGGGGCAAAAGATGACGACAACCAGAAACCACACTCGAAAACCAAGATGGTGACAGTGGCGAACACAACATTGAAAGCTTGATGCTGATTGGCTGATAAAAACTATATATATTTTTAAAATTTGTTGGCAAATTGAAAAGTGCTTTTAAAACTAACTACAACCATGAGTTACTCTTAACAAAAAAGACTAGTTTAGCCTGCAAAAGTCACTTTAGTATTGGACAGTCATGATCTGCAAAAATACCCGTAAAATGATCATATTCATGGCAATTAAAATACTGCGAAGCAATAACAAGCCCGACTGCCTCTTGCCGTACATACTATCACAAGCTCTGTATAACGGCCAGACGGCCATTGCTCCCCTAAACGCTAAAAAGTGATGTAGCGATTTTGCGACCAATTTTGATCGAGATTAATCTTCTCATCCAAGACAGAAATGTCCAAAGTTAGGGAACCTAGTCATAGAGGAACTCATAACTGTTTGAAAACATGTTCCTTTATCTAGAAATCTTTATCCATCTGGCCAAAAAACAATGAGCAGTCATCAGCTCCCACAAATATCGTCTCACAATGTTCCTCCATGGGATTTCAAAACGGCAGATGCATTGTAATGTATGCATTAATATTGAGTGATAGAGATACTACAAAATAATTTTCTAAATTTAAGCTCTTTTTATTTTGACTGTAGAACGTCAAAAGTACCCATGCCACTTTTCCTAGTTCCAGATCGGTTTAATCAGTTCAGAATCAATCAAAAACTGCTTTGCGCGAAAAAAAAATCACGCGAGAAAATTAATTTTTCAGCCAGAACCACCCCGAATCAAGCACATTTTCTGATATAATAAAGTATTATTTAATTTTCCAAAAATAGTTCATTCAAGAGAATTCCAGCAAATCTTAAAAAAAGAAAAGGAAAGATTTCCATACTGGGCCGCCACACTTTTCAAGTGCCAAAAAGTTGCATCCTTTATGGTTATTTGCTCCATTTTCCCTTCTCTACTCTCACCCTCTCCTCTCCTTTTTTCTGCAGCGCAACGGCACGAACTCACGCACGGACCGAAAACCTTTGACCCAGCACAGAATACGTCACACAAAATTGATTAACTCACTTGGGTTGTAAGTGCACGGGCGATCCAGAACTAGGCAAAACATAGTCATTCATTGGCGAATTTTCAATTAGAGACTCTACAACTTACTTTGATTTTACAAACATTCGATGGAAGAGTTTATACGAGTTACGACTGTAGAATACAAACAAAATATTCAAAATCACACGGTCCGAGTGATGTACCGAGGAGAAAATTTATCGTCTATTCACAGCCCCCATTATTTTCTACAAACTTTCAAACATGTAAAAGTGCAAGTCAGAAATCTTGCCAAAATTCCTAAATTCTAAAGAGTAAAGACAAAGTAAAGATTTTATCCAAAACAAAAGATCTTTGTGTGTGGGCAGTGCCAGTGGGCTATGCAAAATGGTGGGCCTTTCAAGAAGCTTACAATTTTCCTTTTCAAAGGCAAAGTGCACTTCGTCAGTAAAAAAATTATTGGAGACTAATCCAAAAGAGGTAGGTTTTTATTTGAAGCGATCCGGAACTAGGAAAAATCCGGAATTAGGAAACACTGAACTCGCACAACAGTGAAGATGGTTGACAGGTTGAGTGCATATCATCATTTATCGACAACAGATCAACGGCAGGCTAGACGACGTTACAACAGACAGTAGATTCAAAGCTCAAGCATTTCCTCCAGCATTTGTCCAGAATATTTTATTTATATTCATATACAACACTTACCTCTCGCACGTAAAATCTTGATTCCTCTTCAATTTTCCGAGTCATCGGTGAGATTGATAAATGAAAAGTACGAAGTTGAAAATTTGTTCTTGAAATATACCATGCCGCGTAAACAACTTAGGCCTACCTCGCAACAAATTCGTTTACTGTCATGACTGTCGATATGTCCATGTACATGTCATGACTGTACGCGCGCCAGCAGCAAGCTGTATGCGATCCAATCGCAACAGCGCCCTCTTGTGAATTGAATCCCGCTCGCTTGTAACATATACGTGATCGATTGAGGCCCGCGCCATACGGGGAAAAGGTATCTGGAGCGGGTCGAGGATAAACGTACATTTTCCCTTTTTTACGGACGAGTGAAATGTAAACCTTAATTTGAGGGGTAAATAACTGTTTATACATTTCCATGAAGTAACTAACAATGCAAAATTGTAACTGTGTCAAAAGAAACGTCTGGTACCCAGTCTCTATTTCATTGTGTGTACATATTTCCATGGTCATGGTCAAGCCACCAGACTACAGTACTGAACAGCTGAAGCCAATTTACTATTTAGCTCAAAGAAGTTGTATACATCACTCCAGTCAAGACCCAGTAACTGGGGCACTAGAACTCTTTTTTTTTCTTTTGGAATTTTGACTTCGTCTTCGTCTACGAGTACGACTGACCAAAGTCAAAACTTGAAGAAAGAAAAACGCAGTGGCTATCGTTACGGCAGCCGTAATGCATTTCCCATTTTCTATCGTTACGGTAGTACTAGCAACTTTTATAAAAACATGAGAAGAAAATATAAAATTAGAAGGAAAAAAGTGAATTTGAACGTTATGAAATTCGGACTTTATTTCCCTTTTAAAAAAAATCCTCCATAGCCTCAGGTTAGAAAAGGAAAAAAATTCGAGTGCAAAACTGAGATGCGAACCCGCAGTCTCGCGGTGCAAAATCCTACCCTCTATCGACTGCATGAGCTGTCGCACTGCTCGCTAAAACGTGGGGAAACAAATAATTATATACCTGCGTGCGTATCAAAAAAGTATCGCAGAGGGCGCTAAACAACGACTGTCGTAACGATAGCCACTTCGAAGAAAAAAGGCAATCGTGTAGCTAAGGGGGCTGGGCCCCTCTTTTATTTTAGTCTTAGACTTAGACTTTAGTTTTGATCAAATTATTTTGACTCAAGTTAGCTTGAGTAACTCCAGCTCTAATCATGCTTATCGCATTAGAGCTGGAGTTACTCAAGCTAGACTCAAGTCAAGGGTGTTTTTTATAATTTAAAAATTACCTTTTCAACCTAATGCGGACTTCTCTCAATTCTAGTGACACTTTTTGTAATTTCGAACAGTTTTTTGGGGGAAAAATTTATGATTTTCGTACGCAGTTTACAGTTGGTGGCATGAAAATCAGCACACCTGGCGCGTTCTCGGTATATCACGGTGATCGCCATCTTGTTTTTCGTGACGCCATTTTTGTTTCCATGTTGTCGTTTTACCCACAAATATCTCTCAAAAATTTGAAACCCTTCCCTCTATCTATGACATATGTGCATGTTCTTAATGTCGCCAACTAGTTTGGTAATTCAAGTAAATTAAAAGTGAATTTTGTTCCCTTATCCGGTTCATCAGTGTGACGTCATCTCAATTCAACCATGCGCACTTCACACGATGTAGCATCAAGTTTTCAATTGATATTCACCATGGAAGATAGATACATGGTTAAAGCCTTTTTTTTGGACATGATCTGGCAATTGGAGGTAATGATCAAATGTTAAAAAAAGACAATAAGTAGGGTCCAAGTTTAATACTCGGACTAGTTAATAGCCAAGAACAGTTGAATTATTTTTATATAGGTGTTTAGTTATCTTTTAATTTAAAGGCAATATTGGTAGTGAGGTTGTCCCAAAAAGATTGCAGTAATTTTCTCTGGGTCACAGGTCATTTAAGCCTCAGTCGCACACAGTGCCGTTCTGGCATTCCGATGGTGTCACAACCACAGAAATTGGCCAAACTGCACGAGGACTTGACGGCAACTGCTCTGAATGGGGAGCTCGTGTTGGGGACTTGTGGAGGACTGCATAGGTCATGATAGACACTGGAAAGTCCTGACAGAACGGCAAAGTGCCCCGACTGTTTTGAACGTGTTTCAAACAAACAGGAGACTCTCCCGTCCTTTACACAACAGGTTAAGGACGCTGCACGGTAGGGCGTGGAGTTAACTCGAACGGCCTGGACGTGGGGCCGATGGGAAGGCAGTCGGCAGCATCGTTGTGAGAACTGCAAGCACGGAGCTGCATCGGGACTGTCTTTCTCTCACGAGTCTCCTACGTCTATGCTGTACTTTAATACGCAGTGCCTACCCAGACCTCCGCCTGTTGCTAGCACAGGATAAGCACGTGATAGACTTGACGCCAACGGCTTTGATGGGATGAGGACACGTACGGGGTGGGGACGGGAGTGTAAACCACATTTGTCTTGAATAGAACTGCCTGAGAATGGCTTGGACTGGACGAGGACGTGACAATTTTTTTGAAAATTTCTTGCGCACTAGCCATGGTCAGATACATTTTTTTGGTTGTGACCATCGTATCATGCACGGGGGCTAGACAATGGCACTGTGTGACAGGGGCTGTACTCTTGACTTTTTGATTGTCCCTGGTTATATATTAATTAACCTGGTCAATATCTTCCATGTTGAATATTAAGTGAAAACAACAGTCCCAATTTTGTTTTTCTCAAAATCAACTTTTCCCCACACATGGCATATGACCATATTGTCAAACAAAAACCAAGTACATGTATATACGGTGCAAATATGTTTGAACTTCTAGCCAGGCATCAAGTAGCGCTAACACCCGCTACACTTCCAGAAATAAGCGCTAGTACTACGAATGAACCCACTTGCTTACTGCTTCCGTGTGGTTGGTATAAATAAAGCGCAGCGACTTCGAACATTGCGTACGGGCCGTATGACAAAGTGGAAAGCTTTGAACTAATAAACCGCAATCCCACCGTATGTACCCTGTGCGTGTTTTTATAAATTTAATTCATTTCTTTGTTACAGGTTGAAGAGTTTCAGCTTTCAAGGAAAAGAGGACTGGTGAAATCCAGATATCCAAGGGAGGTTGCCAGTCAATCTGGACACTGTGTAGGGGAGGTTGGTTAATGTCTCTTGAGCACTGAAGACCGTGAATTATTGATAATGTGATTGCTCACTCATGTTCTAGTCAAGTACTTTTTATTCACAACTATTAAGTACAACATTTGAAATGAGTACATGTGTGTGTTGCGAAGTTTACTTTGATCAGCAGTGTTGTCAATTGGATCACATCCATCACAAAGCGTTATGAATCCCACACAAGTCCATCACAAGTAATGCAGTCTGAAGCAAGTCACAAGCTTTTCAAATGATCTTTGGAAAAAGCATTGCTTTGTCATTGTTCAGTAGTCATCTGCTGTATATTGTGACTGCATGGACTTGTGAAGGACTAGTGACTAGAGTTGTGATGGACCCAACCAACTATAACACTGTTGCTTAGTGTGAATACAAATATTATACAAATTCTCCAATACAAGCTTTGTATGTAGGTAGTTTTACGTTTTCATGTTCTGTCAACTACATGTAGCTCTCAAATGTTGGAATGTTACTGCTCTTTCTGTGCCTAGATAACTGTCTGTATCCAATTTAATGTAGGGTAGGGACCATTGAAAACCTGGCCACTCCAAATCTGTTTTTGAGCCACATGTATGTCAGTGCTAAAAAGCAGCAGTGCTTGCAATTCTAACAACTTACCATTTTCACAGACATGTACAATGTATTGTATGTGACACACATTTGCGGACACATAACATGACCTAGGGTAGAGTGTCTACCTACATGTATGAGCCTGACACTGTTTGTGAGAACCATTGGTGGGCCCTTACATTGAGCCTGTATATTGCAAATTCAAGGTATCTTTATATTGAAAAAATACTCAAGCATAAATTGTGTTTATTGACATGAGAGGGAATTCTGCTTGTATGGATGCATGTCAGTTTGGTGCTGGATTATGCCCGTACATTATTTATTTATTGAATATTTTGAATTCTTCAGAGCCAAAATGTTTTGCATTAGGTATTAAGATTATCCAGCAGCTTGAAGAAATCTTGAAGGTTGAATTGTTTTACAGTGACAACATTGACCTATGATTCCATGGACAGCATGCATCTGGGAAGTCCCTCTGCAGTCTTTTTCCTGAGCTGATCAGAACTTCTAAGCAAGTTGTAACTAACTACCCAGGATCTATTGAAATGTAGTTTCAGACTGGGAAAAAAGAGGTTTGAAGTATTTGTATTGAAGTCTCTTGTCTTGCAGGAAGTACTCTGTCAGTCTTTCATCACTGCTAGGAGTATGGAGGAGACCCGAGAGATTCCATTTTACCCATCCACACAGTTTGCAGACCTGATGGACAATCCCAGGTCCTATTTTGGCTATGCCTTCTCACCTCAGGAAGCTGATGAAGTAGTACGTCAATATGAAGCTCACACACACACTAAGTATGTGTGCTACAAGGACAACTTTGGCTATGGCCAACCAATCAAAGGTATGGTGAGGCTGCTAATGGGATTGGTTAAACTTCCTATTGAGCCGGGACTTCAGTCTGACTTGGGTTCTTGCACACACAAAAGTTTAGACATTGTCCCAATGCCTTTGGCTCGTACCAGTAACTTATATTCCCCAGGCCTTTTTTTAATGATAGTTTCTTCAATATTTGATTTTGAGTTAAGCCTTCACCCCTTCCCCCTTAAAAATGATAAAAATCAAAGTGTACTTTGGGTAAATTTTCCTACCATTACATTACATAAGCAATTAACCAGTTCACACCGGAATTATTTTTGCCAAAAATTTGATTTTCGAAAAAGGCAAAATATAGCAGCTAATGTTTGTTGTACAGCCAAACACCACGAAATACTGATTCGCAAGAGTCATTTCAACAGGATTTGTACGATATTTCTTACAGCAACCTCATATTTTCAACACTCCATGGTGTGCCCACGGAGCGTAAATTGTACCACAACAGGCCGTGCACAGCAGCCTTGTTAAAGTTCAACACACGGTCGGCCTCCACAGACTTCGCGGACTTGGTGTGTGTGTGTGTGTACATAGCAGATGGGAGTTTAGCATGTTTAGACGTCATCCAGAGGCGAGTCGAGGCACTCTTGACGTTTTAACCCGTCAGCCGTGCCTGTGTATAGAAACAGCCAGATCGTGTTAACACGTCATCCGACGCGAACCGGTTAAGCCTGTGCTATGCATGGGACGATTATGTTTGGTGCTTGGAGTTACTTTCAGAAATGAAGATATTGAAAGACATTGAATGTTCCTAAAGACAGCCAGCAGCTGTGATACCCTGGCATCATGATGACATTGCACGCACCCAGCAAAATCATGAATGCTTCCAATCTTGTGTACATATTAACCCTAACAGTCCTGAATTCTCAAATTTTAACATTATTTTTTCACACAGTTAGGGTTAGTCAGTTTATTACTATGTTTATTATTATTGTAGGGTGATGATGCAACATGAAAGAAGAGAAATTAGAAATCTTTGCTGAAGAATACTGAATGCATGCATGAATGATACAGTGAACCTTGGACACTTCACAAAGTCTTGTGAATTTAAGAACCAAGTTTAGATACGACGTGGATTAAAAGGAACTAAAACTCCTAATTTTAAGCATGAACGCAAAATGCAGTGCGAACAATAGTACCTCTGTGCAATAGTGAGCAAAATTCTTGGCTTTATAGACAGAATGGTCTAATTTATTAGGATAGATAAAATTCCAGTCAATGCAATGTACATGTACATGGAAAGCCTGCATTCAAGAAAATCCAGTTATTTAGTGTCTGGGATAACCATTTCTTGGAAAAGTTTTAAAAACTTCTTATGTTCACCGATTATTGCTCTGCAGAATAGTGTGTCCAATTAAGTGTGCTAAAATAATTTGCAAGATGGACATGCGTTAACTTATGGACAGGGGTGTAACCAATCATCAAGAACTGTGTATAAGGACAAATTCTTAAATTCGCTTTGTTAGGCCCCCCCCAAAAAAGTCGGTCTCTGGTCAGCGCGCGCGTCGATTTTAATCATGCGCGTCGATCTTTTTTCTTTCCAAAATGTTCCGCGGTAGCTCCAACAGCGCCCTCTATTTCCGCATCTCAATTTTTTTTTACCAAAGAGCACCAAGGAATGGGAAATTGCACCAAGGCAAATGATTGAAAGCACCAAGGCAAATTATGGAGGACACCAATGTACATGAGGACACCAAAAAAGCAAAATAGTACCCCACCTTGTCTGTACAATCCAAGCTTGAAGACACAAAAAAAAAGCGAAAAAAAAAAAAAGCCGCGTCGCCGCGTCAATTCCGGAACTTTGGTCTGACCAGAGACCGAATATTTTTTTTTTTTGCCTAACTAGCATTTTTTTCTTCTGGTGATAAATTTCTTTTGTAACACTTTTGTCACATTTCAGAGGCTCTAAAGAAAAGGAGAGATGGACACTGCATCAGGTTTAAATACTCAACGGCTTTCTGTTGTCCCGATGCTACACCCCTTCCTCTGAATGGTATTCCTTTCATTATACTCGGCCGTATGTGGAAACAGTGTCAGTATGGACCAGATCGCAGAAAGGTGTGTGCCTAACAATAGAGGAGAAAATGGAATCTTTTATCCTTCACTGTTAAAAATCAATGACATGAACTAAACACCGCAAAAAAACCCCCAACTTCCACACCCATTGGAGGGTTCATAATTTTGAATCTGATTGTCTTATGATAGCGTCATTTTTATAGACCTTTGGGCAATGTTGTTAGCTGCACTTTGATACCCCGTTTGCTACCAACATTCACAATGTTTAAAAAGTTGCAAATTTTAAAGAATAGGTGAGTTGAAATTGCTGCTTGACAATGTTACACTGCCTGAAACAAACGGCAGGGAATAGCGATCGCACAGTGCTTGCATGTATGGGAGCACGCGAAATTGAATTACCAGTGCTTTATTTGGGCACTGTGCAGTTGATAGGGGCAAATTACGAGCATGTGTGTTTGCGTTTAACAATTTCTCCTAGTGTAATCTTTAAATTTGCAACTTTTCAGCTGCATTATTTTTCCTAAACTGTTGTCAAACTTGGACGATTTACGGTCTTTGGTAGCAAACGGGGTATCAAAATGTAGCTAACAAAATTCCCCAAAGATCTGTGACATCAACATACATGTAAAATGATCAGATTCAAAATTATGACCCCTCCAATTAGTGTGGACTTTCTTTTTTTGCGGTGTTTATTAACAAATATGAACTTAAATTTGAGGGTGTTCCCATGTCTAAAAACCTGATAATTTGGACATTTAAGTAGAAATGAAGAATTTGTATGCTGGATGTTTGGCTTTCTTGTAGCCAGTGAAAGGATCACTGTGAACTATTTTCTGGTCCAAGTGGGCGGGCCTAGTGTCTTATCTTTGGACATGTACCTATCACACTGACTCATTGACTCACTCATTGTCACTGGAGAATAAGACTGGTTACCTATTCCACTGTCTGACTGTCACTTGTGACTTGCACTGACTAAAACTGGTCTGGGAGCAGATTTATGAGGCTTGCCTAAACATGTATGTCCTGTAGCACCTGCACCTCATGCATTGTTTTAGCTCCACTTGTTTCATTCACTTTCTCGATACATGTACAGACAGACAGTAAGTCAAGTCTTTCTCTTTGCAAACAATGAAATTGGATGTTTCATTTCCATCTCAATACTACAGTTTATTCTACAAACATAGCAATTCTGAATCATTTGAATAGCAAGTTGTGAGTAAAGATAGCTTCTGTGTGAACTACCTGCTATAACCACCCCATTCATAATATTATCTTGTGTACAAACTCTTTACAAACCAGAATAGGAAGGTACGAAAGCGCCTGAGAAAGTCAAAGAAGGTAGGCTGTCCATCAAAGATAATCCTGCGGGATATGGTCGTCTACCCACAATACAAAGTAAGTTAGTCAAGATCTGAGTTGTCTTTGAATATTTTTCTATTCAGTGATTTCTGAAGGATTAATAAGCCAAAAAAGACTAGGAACATTATGTGTTAATGCATTGTGTGTAATGGGCCTGATTTCACAAAACACTAAGATGCGTATAGGCATGGGCATCAATCTTGGGGGGGGGGGGGGGGGGGGGGACAGGGGGACATTTACCCCCACTTTTTGAAGGGTGGGGGACACAATATCAAATGTACCCCCCAGATTTTTGAACTTGTGTGTCTCATTTATAGGGCCTTATTATGTATTATACAACACCTGAATAAATCCCCGTCATCTGATTGGTGAATTGTAGATCACGTGACATATTATTATTTGGTATAATGCACGGTGCGACCATGCGTTATACCCATGCGTTATACCGTTTCACTTTGCGCTTGTTCCACGACGCGGTATTTGCGTGCAAAATGCATGCTGGTGTGCGCGTTCAGCGTAGCGCATATTGTTCAAGGATCCAGCGCTACAGCGTTGGGGTTCAAACATTTTCGTGAAGGGGTAGTTCAACATCTTTAAAATCAAAATAAATTGTAGTTTATAATTTACCAATCAAATGACGAGAATTTATTCAGGTGTTGTATAAAACAAATAACGAATGTTTTACGTTCGTGCGATGGAAAGAATAATTTCATTCGGTGACAGATTGAATGTTCTATTCCACTCGGCTTCGCCTCGTGGAATAGAACATTCAATCTGTCACCTCATGAAATTATTCTTACCATCACACTCACAAACATTCGTTATTTGTATACTATCGCCAGATTATTGGTAGTTCTAATTATAAGTAAGCCTAATATTGATTTGCGCTCGACAGCTCTACACTCGATCATAAATGTAACTTAATAAAAAAAAGATCCCGATTGATAGTACGTGACAGTCTTGTACGTGACAGTTTAAATGATGATCTTTCGCACCACAGAGCATCTGGAATCCAATTTTTTTCGGGGCCCTTGAGTAGGCCCCGAACCCCACGTATGTGGCTCAAAATGGCCGATTCAATGACTCAAACCTCGAAAATGATGTTTAAATGTTAAGGATTTGCTAAAAAAAAATTTGGTTAAAGTGGTCAGAAATTACCTGATGTTGCACCACCGAGCATCTAGAATCCAACAATTTTGGGGGCCCCGAACCCCACGCGTATAGCTCAGAATAGCTGATTCAATGACTTGAACCTTGAAAATGATGTTTAAATGATTATATTTTGCTCAAGGAAAAAGAATTGGTAGAAGTGGTCAAATTGCCTCAAATCGCACCACAGAGCATCTACATGTAAAATCCAAAATTTTTCAGGGCCCTTCAGCGGGCCCCAAACCCCATGTCATAATAGTTTCGCACTTTGCCCTCGCATCATTTTTTCAAGGTATTGTTGTGATCAAGGTATTGTCCCCCCCCCCCACACTTTTGAGAAGCGATTGACGCCCCTGCATATTGGGAAGGGTACCTTGTCTTAACGCAGGACTTGTGCTAGGATCAACTTCACTAAACTTAAGATGCGTTCAATGTTTCATAACACAGCTGAAATCGTCTTAATTTAAGAGCTGTGAGGGGTCTGGGAAATTATTGCACCGTCTTCTTGTTAAAAGCAAACTTCGGCCTAGGACCATAGTTTCGAGACAATTTCGTAGCTAAATTTTGATTCAAGCTCTTTGGAGTTGTAGTGTGTGTACATGTGAAGACCATGGGTGTCTGTACATGTGCAAGATGTGAATGAAGTTGCAAAACCAGTTTTTAATTTTGAAAGAAATTCCATGGTGACAACCCTGTTCCTCCTACAATCAGACTTTCACAGTCCTTTTTCCTGAAAGATGGATGTTTTTCCCACAGATACATGCACATTCACGAGGCCAAGACAGACTTAAAAAAGTAACGTCGGCAAAGATAAAATCTGAACTGGAATCAGGTGAAATGAAAGGAGAACGACGGATCTACATTGATCTACCAGATCCTAAGGGACATGTTGGCCATACTCCAGGACAGGAGGTATTGCATGTCACTCTGAGCTGTCTGCTCATATTGATCCTATATGACGCTGTGCATGAACAGTTGATGGCGCTTTGTGTCCACTTTTCAAAGCTATAAGTGAGCTGAGTGCCCGTAATGGTTTGTGCTGTTATTGCCCTAAGTATGCGCAATTAATTTGATCCTACATGTGCACAGACCCATCGTGTCTTGATGTGAATGTCACGTGTCACAAGCAGTACAGTGGAACTGGGACGTTGCTATACTGGACACGGCTATACCAAACATTCGGCTATTACAAATATCGTCCTTGGCTCCCCAGTTTTGTGAACAAAACGTACCGGTACACCTAACATTGTTGAAAAATGTCAACGGAATAGTGAAAAGTGGCTATTATATCCTCAAGAATAGACAGGGAAAGCCACCCATTGCTGTAGGTAATAAACTCAAAAACTGTGGTCGGCATGTGTTGAAAGTTGTCTTTCAGTAACTACCAGGGCATGCAGGGTGAGTACCAGAGCACTGTCAGCTTAAAATCGCAATACCGAATGATCGCTATTACAAACTATTTCTGTGGATCTCGCGATGTTCGTTATAGCATCGTTCCACTGTATGCTTGAAGTCTCTCCAGTGGTCTCCCCCAAATGTCCCTTTATAACCGTTGAGGGGGTAATTGTGCATGGAGTCCATAGCTGCAAATGACTGAAGTATGGACACACAACCCCCAGTACACTTGTGCAAACAGGCACACTTTTGCAACAAGTGCATTAATACAAGTAGGTTTTGTTTGCTTGTAGGGACAGAAATGGTTTCCTTGTTAGGTGTTTTCTTAATTGTTACAAAGCTCCAAACTTGTGGCTGTAGGGCACAAGTGTTCACACTGAACTTTAAGCAGTTGTAACAGAGATTGGACAGTCACCAGCATTGCTTTGTGACTAGTATGTGGCATTATGAATAATATATGCAATTCATTTTACCTCGAACAGTTGACCCGTTCGTATTGGTCCAGAGCCTGTCACGTGGGTGGCTTTATACGGTTAACTGGCTGGTTTTAAACACTTTTCCGGTGTCACATGAAATTTCGACTCTATGAAATCTGGTCCCTTTTACCCTTTTATTGGTTGAACGTTCTCAATCTTCACCTAGGCGTGTGTAATACTATCAATGAGACCATATTTCGTGAGTCCTACACTGACACCGCCTCATCTACACTGACACCGCCTCATCACGCAGTATGTGCCACACGCGCCAATCTCCATATAAGGAGATGTTTACAACTTCTTGTGTGCGGTACATGTACATACCATAGCATTGCTAGAGGCGTGTTTCAAAAATGGGCATTTCAAAAACATAAAGTAAAATTGTTAAACAAAATCGTTTATAAAAATTTATATTTTTAAATTCTTTTGACTTCTTGACTCAAAGATATTTATGAATGGGAATGAATATGTGCCCGACCGTTATGTTTAACAAATACGTTTAAGACTGACTCAGGGGCCTGGTCACCGATAATGTCCCTCTTCTTCAGCTCGGGCCATTATCTGCATCCCTTCCCATAAGCTGGTCTTAAACGTACTTGTTTAAAACCAGCCAAGCACATATCTGTTGCGTTGATACATGTATAACATGGTTTGTGGATAAATAGTTCGTCGTGTGCCCGGCATAAGGGCATATGTGTATATGCCCTTATGCAATAGCGCGTAATGACCAAAATGTTCCCAGCAAAAGGGCATATGCAGCAAACTGCCTCTAACTCTAACATTTTTGTCAGAAATTACTACCAGTTGTTCCAAAACTTGTGATTCATACGTGTGACAAATTTCAAGTTCGTACGATTTATATTACGTGTGGGGGAACATTGGATTCATGATACACGCGAGGGAACAATGGAACCTTTCAATGCAATTTTCTTGAAAATGATTTTTGCGTCAGAACGCTCATGCCCTTCTGCCGGGCACCCGACCAGTTAATGTTAGCCCCACTATGTACTGGAAGTTGAGAAACTTATTTCCAAGAGGAGGGAAATACTTCATCAATTTCAACTACCGAGGGGAGTTAGTATCGAGTGTCCCCATCTAATGAACCATGCTACAGGTTTTTTACTATATCTCATACATGTTTAGCTCATTCAACTCATTAGACTTAGTCAGTGTACACATGTTGCCATATTTTCAAGTAGCTAGGATGATGTATGTCCGTGGACACTAACCCGTGTGATAGCGCCTCAATGCTTTAGTCAAGTACCCAGGTGACTGTCGCACAAATTATGCATGCGATTGTGGTCTGCACATGCATTTATATTCTCCTTGCACAAGCCACATGGTAGTAAAGTACGAGTACAAGTATAACTAATGGTGTTTACTACATGCCTTTAAACATTGGTCTTGACCTAGGTAACCATGCAGTGTGATCTTACATGGCTCTTGTATATGACATACACGTAGGTGGATGAAAACAGCTTTTATGCATTCAAAGGCGAATGTTACTTTTGGGGTATATGTTTTTATTTTTCTGAAATAACCTTTTTACAGGAATAACTTAGTACATGAGCGGAAAAAAACAGATTTGGAGTGGTCTTTACATCGTATTAGGCTATGCTATGAAATTTTAACAGAAAAGTGTAATTTTGGCTGTTGAAACAATTAAGTTTTTCTTGTAACAGTTAATAACAGGTAAAGTATATTCCCATATCCTGACTTAATTTGGTTGTATTTTCAAATTTAGTTTCAAGACCCTACATTTGTAATTTGTTTCCATGTGAGGAATATATAATTATGCTGACATTTTTTTCGCATTTTTCTTTTCCAGATTAAAATTCTGTCTCAAAAGAACGAGAGGAAGCTGAGGGCTCAAGAAAGGGTAGGACCATTGCTGCCATTTGCTAACATGTTTGGTTAACATTTATTAGTAGTATTTTTTGGTTAACATGTTAAATTCAGAAACTTAGTCATGTGCTTATTCAGTGAGTACAAAATTATAAGCACTGCGACAAAAAGTATTACAGAATAAATAAGCCATTTGCGAGTTAAATTTGAATAAAATCTGGAACGCTGACTTAATACAATGCTTTGCACGTTTTAACCTAGCATTCTCCCGACCAAAGAGACTGTTACTATATCACGTGATTCGGGGCAAGCCTTATGCTAGCAACCCCCAGCTCCGGCATGGTCTGGTGTCTTTGTGCCATTCTCACCCATTGTGAACGATGTATTGGTGCTGAGTGTCTCTTACGTAACTATGCAAGAGCTTGCCCCGAATCTTGTGATTAGCAACAGTGTCTTTGGTCTGGAGAATTCAAAATTAAAATGTGCCAAGCATTCTGAGCAAATCATTGTACCAGACGTTTTTCAAATGTAAATCCCAAAGGGTATAGGTTACTCGCAAATGGCTTATTACAACCCATGAAGTAACCTTTTCAAGGCAAGGTGGTGCACTGTTTTATATCGTAAAAGTTCAGCCTTTGATAAAGATTTTGTTAGGGTAAAAAGATTAAGCCCTCTTTCAGTCCCCCCAATTTGTCTACCTTGCTTGCTGTCCATAGGCTATCATGGATCTGACATTCCTAGGCACGGCCTCCTGCTTTCCAACACCCAAAAGAGGAGTTTCTTCAACGGTCTTCAGACATGGTACATACATGTAGATACTGGGCTGGCTTTCAGTGTTGAATACATTCCCAGCAAATGAATACATACATGTTTTTTGTTGTATTTGTATTGTCTAGTATGTCAAGACATTGAAGCAATCTTATTGCAATTGTTGTAAGTAAAGGACTAATTCTATCTTATGAATAGACCAGCCATTTATTACTCCATTTGACGTCAGGTTTTTTTTTTGAGGGGGAGATTTAGTTTCTAATTTTAAATTCATAAAACAGATTTGTCTGACTTTAGAGTGAGACTATGTCTAAGATCTGAGCTGGCATGCATGAAAGGAAATTGTTTTATATATTTTGCACATCTCTTTTGTAAAACATATCTTCAACAAGTTGTGATTTTTTTTAAAGAAAAGTCTTACAATCCTTACAGTCATTACGCAATTTGTAAAAGTTCAGTTGAGACGTTTGTGGGACTGAGTACCTGGTTCATACTTTACTTTCATTTGTCAGTAGGTCACATAAAAGTATGATCCAATGTAATACACCCAATATGCATCCTTTTCTTGAAACTAATGGCGTTTGATTTCATGCATAAAAAGCCTAGACAAGAAGGCATGGGAACCAAGAAAAATCATATCTTTTTGGGGTCAAGCAAATGACAAATGACTGGTGAGATGTTTAATAGAAGTCAGCCTTTATGACTGGAGACTGGATTTAGATGTAACTGGAAACTTACGGGAAACTTACGCAAAGCCTGACAATATAGGCATTTGGACTTGACATTGGATTCAGTTGAAGGACTCAACAAAATCATCAGTGAATTTGTTGGATTATCAATTGAGAAAGGATGATATCGATGATATCAGATATTGTGAGTTTATTTGGATCGATGACTTCATTTCTGTTTGATCGTTTCCCTGAAGATGGTGAATGTTGGATGTTTGATTGCGGGGAGGGAACTCAGATCCAACTCATGAAGAGCAAACTCAAAGCCAGTCACATCACCAAAATCTTCATCACTCATCTCCATGGCGATCACCTCTTTGGCTTACCGGGTCTGCTGTGCACCATGAGTCAGGGTACCGCTGAAGCCAAGAAGAATAAGATTGAGATTTACGGTCCATGGGGATTACGCAAATACCTGCGCGTGGCTCTAGAGATGTCTCGGTCAACATTCAACTTCTCCTACGTAGTGCATGAGCTGATTCATTCACCGGTGGACTTGCCATCTGACTGGACGGTATGTGCAATTACTTTGTCTTCTTTAAATGCAAAGTGAAATGAAATGGCAGTTGCATTTAAAAAGAGTCACTTTAAATAGTGCCTCTTTAAAGTCTACTTATTAGCAGTGAGATTAAAAAATATAAATTTTACTTCAATTTGTCAAAATTTAAGGTTTTCAATTCAAAGGAAATTTAGCTTCATTTTGATGTTTCATTGAGGTCTTGGTACAGTGAATTTGTAAACACTACATTATCGTTAAATGGTTTCAATCAAATGTCAGTAGTTGAAGGAAATATTAAGTTGGGTTTCCCAAATAGAAGGCATGCTCGGGTATCTGTGTTCACAACCAGAGCACTGAGCAGATCACTGACCGCACAACTTGATACGTGATGTGAAGATGTGAAAACTGCAAAGTCCTTGTCAAATTATGCCAAATATTATCATTTGACAACTTTGACTAATTGTTGTCAATTTGTTTTTATCATCATGCTCTGTGGGATTAATGTTGCCACTGGAAGAGATTTTCTGTATTTAGAATAACTGATTGTAGCTGGAATCTCTCTTGTGTGTTGATACAGGAATGGCATCCCAACCATGAAGCAGACGATCATCACCATCCTCAAGAAGAAGAAGGTCGTAATATAGAGATGGATGTAGATGAAGAATGTTGGCTGCTGTAAGTAGCATCAAGGTTGGACGAAGGCAATCGCCTCACAGGGTTGCATCATTCTTTGACATTTATACAGAGATGCCACTTTTCCGGTTTTAGCCGGAATTCCATTTAAAAAAAAAATCTGTTCTTTTTTTCCCGCCGGCAGAAACAAAAAACTGAAAAAAACTGGAAATACGTTGATTTTTACCTCGTTAGCGCTCTCGAGTTTAGTACATGTATGGTAGCTAGGCCTATATGTTGTAAGGATTGTGCGCGCTCGGCACAATGTTGTTCATTGAAGACTTGAAGCAGTCTTAAAAACAAGTCTTTGTTGTTGCTGAGCCTGCATGTGATACAGGCAGCCAATGTACTTGCACGCAGTATACAACGGCGCCTCGCGTGTGCTTTACCGCCTGCGGGCATGCTGTGTGCTAAGCACACGTAGCATTCAGCCTGGAAATCAAGTCTAGCATTTCAATTCTCTGTGGTTTCCGATCGCAGTGATATATGTGAATACAAAAAACGCTGGGTACCAACCATGTTTTCGTCGCGCGCATGGCGTAGTGCAAAGGTCATGTACACTGACAGTGTTGTGGAATCGTGCATGTTTCGTGTAGAATAAACATTGGAAATTTGGGATAGGAATATGGAAAAATTCAAAGTGATTGAGCGAACCGACAGCTTAAAGGTCATAGAAGCAAAAATAAAAAATAACTGGAACTAGGCTTGGCGACAAGAGAAAGATGACAACAGGAACTTTGTGTCGGAGTGGCTTTTTCACAAAAAATAAAGTTCCGTTTTTTTTCCAAGCAGACCCTGTGGCATCCCTGTTTATAGGCCAATTCACCTTATTTTCATGATGTCACAAGGACTGTATCTTAATGGTTAAGTCAAAGTGGCAGCGCCGTAAGCGAAAAAAAAAAATATATATATGCATGCATTTAGTACGCAGGCATGGGCTAAATACCACTCGAAATGTGACATCACGAAATAAGGTGTATACCAGAATTTCTAAGACGTTTTAGTTGTGCACATATGCTCCATCAGTTCTACACCTCAACTCTATTGACTCTGTGCATAACTACGCCATAAGTTGTTAACAAAGGAAAAAGTATATTATTGACAGAAACGTAAGTACCATTTCCGTTGCATTTTTCTACACATCTTGATATTGAGAACCCTTGGGGCAATTTAGACATTCCTTTTACTTTCCTGACACGATGCTTCCTAGCTCAGATTGAATAGAAATGTTCTGCTTTCTCATGTGCAGCTTTGAAGACAAGAGAATCAAGGTGAAGGCTGCCCCACTGACACACCGTATTCCATGCTTTGGCTACGTCATTAAAGAGAAGACCCAAGTAGGAAAGTAAGTGCCCATCAAAACCAAAGAAATTCCCAAAGCCAGGGGTACAAGTTGAGAAGTTGCCAAATGTTTAGTGGCTTCGCTAGACTGAGCCCCATGCTATCACTCCTCTTTCAGGTTTGCAGCAGCTAGGTGACCAGGCCATAATTCCTGGCTGACTTCTAGCATGGAGTACTCAGTCGGTAGTTCTGTTGTCGCAATCCTTCAAATTGGTTGTGCGGTGTCGGTGCATGTGTTTAATACATTGACCTCATGATATCTTTCCACCTTCTGTGTTTTAGCTATTTGCATGCCACAGAATTCTAAGATATCACCAGAAATCTTGTAATAAGAAAATGTGTACACCCTCCTATCAGTTGATGCACCCACCAATTTGCTTCACGTGCAGTCTGCAGTCACCAAACCCAGCAAAACCATTTTAAAGTCGTCAGTGCCACTTTTGTGTAATAGATTTTTTACCAAATCTTGCGCAATGGAAATAATATTTTGAGATGTCTTAATGAGTCATATATCAAAGTAGATAACAGAATCTGCTTTTTGTAAAGCATGCAAGTGAAACCTCATCCTTTATACTCCTTCCAAACGATCCAGTTACAAATGGAATGTATAGCATTGCCAATTGACAGGTAACAATCTACATGGAAAGTAGAAGGGTTTTAATGCGCTATCACCATTTATGTCTTCATTAAGATAACCCAACATGCTAGGTCAAAAGTTGAGACAAGTTGGGAAGCTATCTGACTGACTGACTTGGACTGGCTGTTGGCTCTAGAAGAGAACCGGGCAGTGCTTTAGTATAGGATTACCCTGTAACACCAAATTAATTGGCTAAATCTGGCCCATTGTGTACACCAGATGCATGAAAAGACTACCAGTGAAAACCATTCAATATGCCGTATGATTTACACTGGTCTCAAACCACTTTTTCAAGGCTTACCTAATCTGGATTATATATGCATTGCATAATTTCGAACCCAGATTTATTTATCTGCAAACCATTTGTACTTTTGTTGTCAGACTGAAAGCAGGGTATTTGAAAGAAAGAGGCATTCCACCCGGCCCCCTGTATGCCAAGATCAAGGATGGGAATAACATTGTGTCACCAACTGGTCAGGTCATCACTCCAGCTGAAGCCATTGGACCATCAATACCAGGACGGAAAATAGGTAAATAGGCAGGGAAAGACAGACAGTGAAATGGAGGGAAGTTTGTTAGTACATGAAGCAAATGCTCATGAACCTGATGTCATTCAAAGATATCTGATGACACGATTATGCTGCTTATGTTGAACTACAGAATTTTGTCGTTTGCAGTTCTTGTCCACTGGTGTTTGGATATGATAAACTAGCTTTTTTATTGCACAAATTATACATAAGATATAAGCTCTGCATTGCTTTCTAAAATGAGCTAGATATTTTCAATTATTACATGAGGTTGTTAACTCCATAGTCCAAAGTGGCAAACCAGTTTGGTGACTGTTCAACTACTTTGTCAATAACCTTTAGTTCATGACATTTGTTCAAATTATTGCAGTGTCAACCAAGACGAAAAATTAAAAAAAAATTGCCCCAGCTACTATTGTAAGGTCATGGTTCTTGAGCTGTCTTGACGTGATAAAATGATCATTTTCTCTCCACAGTCATTCTAGGAGACACGAAGGACTCATCACGAATGAGCAGGATAGCACATGATGCTGATATCTTAGTCCATGAAGCTACACTCAATAATGAACATGTGGAGAAATGCCTAGAGGCTGGCCATTCCACACCAGGTAAGCTTATCAACCTGTCGCCATTGCTGAGGAGCACCATGCTCACATGCAGCTCAAACGCAGCTCACACGCAGGTCACATGCAGGCAACTTAAAACCCTAATGGTTGAGTGTACCACCTGCAGAGATGAAACTGGCATATGGGAAAACAATCGGAAAATAGGCCGAACCCAAATACGTGTCCGAAATCTGGACCGCTCTGCAGGTACACATACACATATATGTACAATACACTTCATGCCCATTTTCCGGACACCGCCTCCTGTAAATTTTACAATAAGCAAAATCTTCAGTGTTTTCATAAAATTAACAAGCTTAAATTACGGTTAGAGCAACGAAGTCATCTACAAAGAAGTTCACTTCTTACTTGAAAAAGTTGAGGAATAAATCTGAAAGACAAGAACACCATTCATGACACCATTCAATCATGTCCACGATTCTTATTCCTCCATGATTCAACCAAACTCCACTACCGTGCATGAGAAAAATCGGGCATTATCGTCTTTTTCTTCCAACAACTGCCAGTGAAATGTATCACTTATGCTCTCTTCGCCATTGTCAAGATAACCATTGTGATTTTTAAGGCATTGCATTTTGTACAGCTAAATCTAAAACCTCCGAAAATCGCACAAGTTGGATTCTATCTTTTGTGGCTACCGGTACCCGGTCGGCCATGTGCTAAAGGGCGGCACGGCATTGTGGTACCGTTGCATATGCTAGCTGTGCATGCATGCACCACACACTGTCCGTGTGAAGCAGTGATTTTTCCATGTCACAGGTCAATGTTTAACCTTCTATGCAGCCGGAAAAGGCTCCGATCAGTGTTGGCCTAGGTGTTTCTACGGTAGAAACACTTCGTTTACGACTGGTGAAAGAGATCAAAACTAAGCTCACGATGATTTTTAAGTGCCCTTTTCATCAACTTTTTCATCGACTTTTCTTCGAAATTATAGTTTAAATAAAATCGCATATTGTGGAAAATTGTTTAAAATTCAAATGTTGTGGGATAAATCGTACAAAAATCGGAAATTTTGTTGGAAAAGTCAAAAAGTCGGTTTTCCAACTAAAATCAGAAAAAAATTTCATCTCTGCACATGTGCATGAGCAGGACACTATGTAATGTTTCTACTTTGGGTTGTTGGATACATCTATACAATGGGCTCTGTTCATAGAGGCACTTCACAGCCTAAAGGGACACTGATTAAAGGACACATAAACTTGTTTGGTCCCACTGAAATGTTCATCAAGTTACATTTGGTTGTTATTAAAGATTTGAAGTTTTTGTGCAATTTCTGTTTGCAAAATGTAAAAACAAAAGTTCCAAGAGATCATTTGCAGAAATCAAAGGTTCACAAATGGTTGCCTTGTCAACCCAATGAAAGTTTTTGTATTGAACTATTCTTTTAATCAACTCCTAACTCTCAGTTTTAGTATCCCTAGTTAGTTTTCCCGTTGTCTGATTGTTTCCTGTAATCTTTTCATTTTTTCCATCAGCCATGGCAGCAAACTTTGCCGCGAGCATCAACGCCAAGAGCTTAGTTCTCTTCCATGTCAGTCAACGCTTCAAGGCCCTGAATGAACCAACAGAGGAGGGCGAAGAGACAGTGGAACTCCTAGTGCAGCAAGCCTCGGAGGCCGGCTATACCGGCCAGGTAGTCATCGCTGAAGACCTGGATACTATCACTATACAGAGGAAGATTGAGGAGCAGACTGTGGAGACTATGGAGGCTGTGGAGACTCTGGAGACTGACACAGCTGCAACAAGTTGATGTTTCATTGGGGAGAAGAGATCTCTGTATCTGGAGGATGGCATTGCTCTTGAATTGAATTATTACAAGAAACTGTTGTACAACAAGACTGAGTTTGAGTATTGCTTATTGTCTTCAAGATGTGTGTTCATCGCATTCCATGGATATGAGAAAAAACTACGCTAATCTGTGTTCCTGCGCTAGAGATGGTTCTTTTGATATAATGCAGCTGTATTCTTCCTTCAATTGGGAGGATGGTACAACTCAAAATATGTAAAGGTTACATCGGAATATATTGCCCATAAAGTAACAGCCCTAAAATGTTCCCACCTGTACCATAATTTTAAAAGTGACCTCAAATTGTATTTAACAAATCTACCTATCGTTTTAATGATGACATTATGTGGCATAAATTTATCTGCCCCAATTGTATTATTGGCCAAATGAATCTATTTACAATTATCCCTGTCTCCTTCACATAACGCTCGACAGAGATACCTACAATTTCATTTCCCAAAGTTGACTTCAATGTGGAAAGAAACTAAAATTAGTGGTTTAGGCACATTTTGATGTCTCTAATAGCCTGATTTGCCATTATACAGTGCCTGAATAAATCCCCCCATCTGATTGGTGGGTCATTGATCACATTAAATTATTCGTCCCAACACACGGCGCGACTGCACAGCAAAAATAGAAGTTCCATTGCACGGTCACACTTTTGGCAGCTTTGACCAATCAGATGGCAAGGATTTATTCAGTTGTATTGAATTAACAAAGAATGTTTCACATTTGCGCAGTGGAAAGGATATTTTCATTTCGTGACAGATGCAATTCCATTTTCGCCTCAAGGAATTGAACGTTCCATCTGTCACCTCATGAAATTATTCTGACCATTGCACCGACAAACATTCATTATTTGTATAACATTTGGATTGAAGACTCAGAATAGGTACCATCTGTATGGGAATTCATGTTCCAATGGGTGTGTATGTGGCAATGAAAGACATACAATGTACATGTCACTGAATACATGCTGTATAGAGCACCGAAGTGTGACGTCATTTAGAACCAGGAAGTGTAGTGCAAACGAATGGAGAACGCGCGCGTGATGGTTCACGGGCTGAATCACGCGCTTATGTCTTTTACACATTTATTGTGCGCGTGATGTATTCACTTTGGTGCTCTATATTCCCACTTCGTAAAAACCTGAGACCATCAAGTGTTTGAAACCATGGATATTTCTATTTTGTTCTGCGTTGATTGTATGGCCCTTCGCTATGTACAGTTTATGACAAGAGTATTTCATATTAGAGAGTATTGGGTAAAAGTGATATGATGTGTAAAAGACAAGTCCCGAGAGAGACTAGATATCGTTATCTGCTCGTTGCACGAACAGAGAGGGCGGTTTATGACCACTTCTAAAGCCCCATGGACGGGACACGTATAGCACGAAATATGCACGACTGTTATTTTGAATGAGCACGAGGCATTATTTTTGAATGTGCACGAGGCAAAAGTGTCCTTGCTTGAGTGTCCGACGTCGTCAGTAGTACGTTCTTATGTCCCTTTCAGTGGTCTCCCCCAACTCTCCCCGTCTTACCAATGAGGGGGTACTTGTGCATGGAGCCCGTGGAATTGTCCTACATGTATTTTATGCCTACTCATCTCGGTGGAGGCCTTTTGTTGATCTGAATAGAGAAACCTTTGTATCAATGAACCTTGGAAGTTGATGACAATTTCACTTCAAGTGATATTGTCTCGCTCTAGTGATATTGTCAAAGAGAGAATGAAAAGCGATACAACCTTCAGTAGGCTGTGCATGTTCTCATGCTGTTGTAATTATGATTCTGCACCAGAGGGCAATTTCTGTGTAAAACAATTTGAAGACATTATAATACGTCATGCAGTGGCAATACTTCAGACACCTTTTTGACACCATTCACAGATGTTTTGTTAACTAATTGTTTAGAAAAATTCATAAAAGAGAATTGTAAATCGTTTTTGTCATTTTTATTTTATTTCATCTGTTCACATAAAGCACAAGCACTGATGGACACAAGTATATATACACAATTCTAAAAATGTACAGTGTATAAACCATTCTTGTAAAGCAGTCTTTTATCCTAAAGGAAGAAGCAGAAATAAAATAATTGGAAGAAACTACATCTTGTCATCTTTACTACTCTGTAATGAACCTGTTCTGTGCACTGTCTCCCCCCCCCCCACAAAAAAGCACCCCTTAATTTTGTGCATAATTCTTGTAAAAGACTGTTTCATCCTCTCTACCTCTTACTTCTGATATCAAAGCAAACATCCAAACAAAAATCCAATATTGGCCACTGGTACTTGCTACCGGTCCCCATATTTTGGGGATTGGAACCAGTCCTTTACTTTTTCAGGATTTACCCTCCAAATAACTCGACAAATATTGAATGTCAATAACTGTTAGAATGGCACTTTTGAGCAAATTCCGGCAAGGCCTCTAGTTAACCATAGTTCAACTAAACTTCACTAGAACGCAGGATGGATAGACTACTCTAGTTGACTTTGGAAACTCAGCCTGGGGCAAGGTTTCATCGCTGATTACCAATAGTCGCAGGCATCATTAAGTACAACAATGAGCCAGGACTTTTGACCATTTTTTTACGAGAGTCGTTTGCATGTTGCTATGCGTGTGTAGGTGCAAGTTATGCCTCACCTGAACTTGCTCATCAATGTGTATCAACAGTAAAGCGCCCTCAACCACCTTGCACTTGCCAATAAACATAAGGCAGTTAGCAATTGCAAAGATAATTATCACTGCAAGTCAAAAGCTATCTGTTTTCTGATTTTTTTCTTTTACAAGGAATGAATGGAAGCAACGCAAGTCTTTTTAAAAAATGCGTGCAGCTTGAGTGATTAGGACACTGTTTTTGATACCAAATACCTTAGACTATATAGGTACAATGTATTTCACATCAGCAATTCATCAATACAGTTTTGACATAATTACTTATTCCAACACCAATAATACTTTTTAAGAATCAATGTGCCAAGTATCGAGACTTAAACTTACAGAAGGAATGTTTACAGAAATTGTTTATTTCAGGAAGTATAAAACACCAACGTAAAAGAAGGTGGGTTTCTTAAAACAACCCAGTGATCTGTACAATATTCATAGTTTGGATATATGCGTTTTGAAAAAAAAACACCTATATGTGGAATATCTTTTCAGGGCCAAAATACAGGCATGATTTTCATTTTTTGTCAATACATTTTTTTTTGGTTAAGAATTATTTCATTACAATTTCATATCATTATTAAGATCATTCTTACAATGTTTGATTTGCACTAAAAATATTTCCTTTAAAAACACTTTATTATAACTACTAAATATTCTGATGAAATATATAAACCTTCCATATTGTTGGGACATTAATTGTAACAACAGTGTGAAAACTAGATTTTTTTTACCTCCATTGATTATTGCTTCATCTAAATCTATATGTCCGTCATGCAGCTTTTACAAAATATGCTTTCACTACAAAAGTTCAGGGATCATAAACCTGAAATGTTGTACCATTACTTTCCAGCTAGACCTATTCACGTAGGTTCTTTTTGCACCAATTTGTTTCATTTATCCCTTATTAGTCACATCTATTATTACTATGAATCCAACCTGTGATAACTAATATCGACTTCACGGCTATTAATAAGGGAATAAATATGTGCTCGGCTGGTATTAAACAAGTAGGTTTCAAACCGGCCAGGACCCTGGTTAAGGATAATGGCCTGAGCCAAAGGCATACATTTGTTCCCATACATAAATACCTTTCGGTCAAAAAAGTCAAATTAAGTCAAAAATTTACAATTTTGCTCAACAAGTTTACCTCTTGTTTTGTGAAACACCCCTCTGGCCATGTCTATGGTATGTGCCTCATGCGCGTAGTGCTACAAAAACTCCTTGTACAGAGATTGGTGCGCGCTGGGCATGTACTGCGCAATGTGGCACAGAACGCTGCAGCGCAGGAGTACAGTGTAAAACCGGTTGGTGTTTTATCAGATGTTTAAACCTCCCACGTGACGGGCTCTCGACCAATAGGAATGGGTAAACTGTAGGTATTTGTGAATTTCGTATCAACTGATGTGATGATGAAAAATAAATAAAAAATCATGTTACTCTGCACACTCATTTTTCTGTGAGAGATGTACCATTGTATTGAAACTTTCACTTCAATTCCCAGCATCTAGCTGTGGTGCTGCTCTTCTTCACTGGTTTTTACAAGTTTTATGTTCAGACAAAGACAAATTCATAAAATCCTAGGATCTTGGAATACATAGTCTGGCACTAAATACATATTAGAAATAGGTGAATAATGTTATAATTCCAATTCCCTGAGGAAAGACAAAGATTTTTTTTTTATCAAAACACTTGAGGAACATGCATCTTTTGTTCAGTAAATTCTTTTTACAAATCACAAAGCTTTTGGATTACACAAGTAACAAGACTTTTGCTACTTACAAGCACAAAACACATTGTACAGGGTTAAGATTTTGTAGAATTGAACTGCTCAGTTCAACTACTTAGCAATACACAAGCTTGATAACAGTATTAGTGTATCATAAGTCCCATCAGCTGCCAGGGTATTGTAGGTTATGCTGCAGCATTATTCCATATTTCAAAAACCCAACTATTGTCAGATATTGGCCTGAGGCATTCCTGGTGTATTTTAAAGGGTGGATGGGTGGAAACACATTCCCATCAAGATATCTTGTGATGCAGTTACTCATTCATTTTAATTAAAGTATTTAAAGTCTCAAGTACTCATGCCACAACATTGTTCTGCTGAGGAAAACTGGTGTAAATTGTAGAAAGAAGTAGGCTAACAGTGCTTCCACAAGCCTGCAACGTAGGCCTTTTAGACAAATGGCAGACACAATAGGAGGACACTATTTGGATAAATTTGGATAAATACAAAAGAGTTTACCCACTCCTATTGTGTTCCCCATATCTCAAAAATATCTCATATGTAAATTACACAGATCAGCACCATGGCTCAACTATGCTATAATGCACAGCAAACACTAAACTGAACCTTTTCCCATTTTGTTTCACATTTTCAAACAAGGTGATCCGCAGATAGCATGTGTCGCCTTTTTTCGCGGTTGATCCCTATATGTTTTGTGTTCTTATTCTTGTAGAAGCTGTTTATTTTCAGTTGAAGAAATGATTGCCTCCTGTAATGTACATGTATTTGTTTCAAACAATAGCATTTTTCCATCATGAGGTATGACCTGAGTTGACCTCTACATGACCTTTGACCTCCAATTTCTGAAGAGTTGTCATGAACAGTTGAAGAAATGATTGCCTCCTGTAATGTACATGTATTTGTTTCAAACAATAGCATTTTTCCATCATGAGGTATGACCTGAGTTGACCTCTACATGACCTTTGACCTCCAATTTCTGAAGAGTTGTCATGAACCCCAACCCAAGGATCACTCCATTCAAGTTACATTGAAATCCATCAAATTCTGTAGACTAAGAAACATTTGAAGCATACTATTTGAATGACTCTAATGACCCCTACGTGACCTTTGACCTCAGTAATCCGATGACAGTTGTGTCTTCCCACCCAAGGGTCGCCCAAATTTCATCAAAATCCATGATAGCATGTAGAAGTTTTGCGTTTGTTTTCTTCAAAAACTTAACCTAAACTTTAACATACATACGGGGATACAGTCATACGGGGATACAGAATTGAGGACTGATTAAGTGTCCCCCAAACTTTGTCTAGGCGACACAAAAATTTCAGACAGTACTTCAATATATTGAAAAATTGGCAAGATTGCCAGTATCACTGTGATGTATCTTGATCGTGATCATGTATTCCAAGTGATTCTGGCAGTGCCTCCATCAGTCAAGCTATGAATTACACATGAAGAGCTCACAGATTGAACAGCAAAAGACACAATGATTTGATGAAATGTTCGACACTGTAAGCTTTTCGATGGAGTTTTCATTCTTAGTTGCCTAATTCAGTCCTTTAATATTGGGTTTTACTCGTTTTTGTCCTAAAGCTTGTGAGAAAGCAATTAACCAGCTCACTCGGGTCAGACAGGAACCCCTGACCTCTTGCTTACAAGTGCAGTCTTCTACACTAGTCAGCAAGAAGTCATGGGCTCAGCTCCCCATCAATACTATTTAATTGTCTTTTACTCACAAGCCTTTAGATGACTCTAAGTACACAGGGCTTATAAAGTGACGGTTACAGAGAAGGGCAAAACCCTAGAATGAACATTTATATTCCCCCAATATACAATCAAAAGTCATTATTCAAATCTTTCCAGCAAATATACATTACAAGATTACTTTCAAGTTTTACCAAAAAAAAGCAAAAGTTTGGGAGAACTTTCCAGATGAGTCTAGTTATCCAAACTAACAACATTTTCATGCAATTCTTAGCAGGTCCGATTAAAGTCAAAGTAAAATGGGGCAACTTCACAACAATTTTTATTTCCTAAGCTAACTTAGAATGTCTTAGTCAGATCTTCTATATATTTGTAAACTCATTTGGACCACTAACAAGTCGGATTGCCTCGGGCCATAATCACCTTTTCCTGCCCCAGAAATATCTGTTTACATTATTTGTTCTTGTCTATATTGATGGAATGCAATGACTGCTGGAGTAAGTTGGATTACACTACCCAACAGCCATCATACGTGATGCGATAAGGCTACATGAGTCATTTGTTGGGAATTTTCATTGGGAGATTCAGGCCAAAATAGGATCACTTCATCACATTTCTTGGTGTTCCGACTTCCATAATTTTTTACCTAAAGATGGTACCCGCATGCCGTTTTCACAGCAGTAATGCTGAGATTGTGCTCTTTTCAAGTCTGTAAAAAAAAAAAAAAAAATGACCAGGGTCGACAAACGACTCATTTAGCTTGATCGCATCACATATATGATTCTTAAGAGAGTTCATTCAGATTCTTTAGCATGCAATTTACTTACTGATTCACACTCATTTCCTAGAGAATGTACACAATTGTTGTATTTTTACTCAAACAGCTAATGTTTACTTGACTCTTTAATAGACAAGAATACAGCTTGATCCGTTAAAAACACCAATTTGACGGATACAGATAATCAATACAAGTTAAAGCCTATGAGACACCAGCGCGAGTTGGTACTGAGCTGGTGAGGATTCACTCAACGCTAACTCCTTCTTGTGACCCCTCCGACGCCCTTGACCCTCGTGATGACCTGGATTGTGACCCTGCCCCTGGGGATCTAGGCTCCTTGGCTCCAGTGTCTGTTTTGGGTGCAGCTGTCTCCTTAAACACCAGTTTCTCATCCACAATCTGAGAGATGAATGGAAGAGAAGTAAGATTGACATGCCAACAAATCTTGCGTTTGTAGCAGCAGCATATCCAGCTGTTGATGTGGGGGGGGGGGGGGAACCCGCACATCCGCGCCGAGATGTACACACCTTTTTTCCCCCATTATTATGCATACTGGAACATATATGCCGATGTTCACGGTGCATTGTAATGGTTTTTGAGCTGGGTTTCTCTTTGGAGGGTTGATGTCAGAACTCTATAACCATTTATGGAAATAATTACACGTTCTGCCCCTCCCCCCCCCCCCCCCCCCTGGATACGCCACTGGTATGTGGTGTAGTAAAACTGGCCTCCGGAGGTGATCCATGGAATCTGTTTCCCTGAGGCAGTCAATTTTTGTTTATAACACCTCATCAAAAGATTGTTTTTAGACAGGTATTTGTTGTATTAAACCACAAACTTCTATTTCAATTTCAGAGGTCAACTCATAATTGGCTGGATTCTCTTCTTTGAAGCAAAAATAAGCACAACTAGTGGCTGTTACCGGTGTGGTGACAATCTGCTGACAGGCAGTGAACCACTATCAGGTAGTAATTTGTGCAAATGCTCCATACAAGTAGGATGTACAAAATTGCATACATCACACATGATGTATTCGAGTTAATGCACGCATGTGGGGCTTTACCGTGGCGGCTTTATCGTGAATGTCAAGGACAGGCTGTATTAGGCAATCAAATCTAAATTCAGTCTTGGATCAAGACTAGGCTGGAGACAAAGCAGAGGTTTGTAAGAGCAATACACTGTTAAATGAACTGTCAATATATCCCACCTTCACATGTCCTCCCCCTGGTTTGTGGTCCATGTTATCCTTGGAGCCAATCTTGGATGAAGCCTTAGCGCTGAAGTCCACTTTCTCAGTGGTAATCTTGACATTGCCGCCTCCGGCCTGGTGCTTGATATTGTCCTTAGATCCAATCTTAGACTCTGCTTTGAATTCCAGTTTCTCGTTGACGATCTACAGAATTACAAGACAAATAAACAGATTGATGTTTGCCGGCTTGTAGGGTCTGTGTGTGCTACATGTACTATACCCTGCAGTTTAGGCACATTGATATAGGGAATTCACACAAAATCTACAGCTCACAATATTGCACGTACAGTTTATATAACACAGTCTGATGACACCTGATTTGCTTTTGAGCAATGGGCTTTCAACCCTTTTAAAAGATTGGTTTTTGATCTCCTCACATCTACAAGGGAGGGATGCTGGATTGTAACGCTCCAAGATCTCAGCTGTACCAATGATCTATTGAAATTTGATATGCTTAAATGCACTTTTATGATGAGCACATCTATGAAGTGTAGTCCAGTAGACCAAAATGTTTTAGAACGGTTGTCATTTTGTATGTTATTCACAGTACACTCTGTGAATTTTCTGTGAATTTTAAATGAATTTTCAACTTTTGTCACTCTGCATTAGAAAATTTTCACATTTATTTTGAACACAAAGTAAAATGTTAAAAAATGGGAAATTCTGGTACCAATGCTATCTTCCTATTGCATAAAGTCAGATTTTTTCCCTATCAGACTTAAAGGTCAAAGGATCATTTGCTTTTTGTGATTTTTTTTCCGATTGAAGCATCAAAATTGCTCAAAGTAGGGACCCAAAATATTAATCTGTTATAGTTTTAGCTCAGTGGACTATACATTTAGAGAAAACAGAAAAGCTATGCACAGTTTTTTTGTCTCTAAGTGGATTTTGTTGATAGCACCTCAACTGTGAAAGTACATTTCGAAATGCACCCGCTCAGTGTAAAATCCTTAATCAGCATTCAGGACATGATTCTTATTCAGCTGAATAGTGTATGTGACGTCCAGTCCCAGTGGCTAGGTACCGGGGTCATTCTCGCAGTATTTAACAAATATCATTTTATTTTTATAAAAAGTGCCTGTGGGGCACCTTCTTAAAACCACCTTCAATGACTTTTTTCTGCCAAACAATACTATCTCAGGCGGAACAATTTCACAGGGTATTTGCTATCAATCTTCACTTTGAGTTAGATATTTGTCATGAAATTGGTAGGTTCCTTTCTGGGTAATTATCATTGTTCCTACATGCCTTAATATTAATGATGCAGTCCCAATGCGAATGTTGGGTTTCATCCTAAAAAATAGATTCCTAAATTGCTATTTTTCAAGTAATTAAAAAGTTATTCACTTTTGAATGAGACATCAACCGAAAAAATTGGCTTTCGGCTGAAGATTACTAAGTTATTGAATTATTACTTGATCATTTTTGATTTATGGGCTGCCAGACAATAATTCCTGTTCTCTTGGGATAGGCTGGTTCCCGCCCCACAATCAGTATTGATAATGTATGGACCGGAAGCCAGTCTGCTCACAAGCAGATCTGTTTGTGCCCAAAACAAAACAACTTTTTTTTCAGAGCTTTGCAGAAGAACGAAAAACAGAGAAAGGTGGAATTTTTTGTTGGAATAAAACATAAAAACTGAATATGTATAAATAGAAAAAAGAAACCACATTTGTTGAAGAGCACAGAGAATGCAACTTTAAGATGCAAGTTGGAGCTTTGGTTTGCTTACCTTTTTGTTTCCACCTTGTGGTTGGTGCTTGATGTTGTCTTTGGATCCAATTTTGGATGTGGTTTTACTGAAGTCTAATTTTTTCGACTCAATCTTTGAGGGGAAAAAAGATAAAAATACATTAATATGAAAGAGTTAACCCACAATCATTTTTTAATAATAAAACATGCCGTAAATACTGATTGATTTCAGGAAAGGAAATGCAAAAAATGTTCCGTTCCAGATCCTGAAAAAAATTGGAATCTGTTAGTACATGACAGGGGGATGAAATATAGACACAATACCACTAGAGAGAAATCCATGGCTCTCGGACAACTACACGGCACCTCATTCAAGTCTTTTAATGCATCACTTGGTACGTCTACACAACTTATAATCCAATACGATGTTTGGAATATCTTTCAAAGATTCGGTTCGCTTTTATGTTTTGGTTATTCATGTGATATTGTTCGTTGTATGTATGTAACATTTGGTCTTTCCCAAAAGACTAAAAACCCAAAGACATTTTTTAGTTGATGTGAAACACTTCACCCAATGTGGGGCAACTTTATCAATTCACATCACACTATCTCCCTACTGAGTATTAGTAGATTAGATTGCCAAGTCTGTTAAAATCCATCATTGACTCTGCTTCACATAGGGACCAAATTCGCCGAAATCCACCACAAATCCGCCACTGCTATAGATGGATTTTGATGGACTTGGTACACCTGGCTTGTCTGCTAAAATCACCCAAATGGGATATGGATTTTGATGGAGTTGGGAAGGTTAGGGTTAATGTGAAATTCTTAAAGACCAATAGGATCATTTGTATTACATTTTTCAACCCATTCTAGGAACAGTAACACTGAAAATGTAACACACAATTACCCATGGACATTTTAGCTCATTTGAAATTATACTTTTGTTTTTACAAGACAATAAAAATTCAAGCAAAAACTCTCTGTGAAATCTATATTATTTTGTTCACATCAGGCTGATACTGTGCCTTCAATTCAGCATCTGATACCCAATTATGATTTGCACACGGGACACTAGACTTGGGCACTGATCCAAACATCCAATTTAATTCAGTCAATACATTTCTGTGTAATTAATTTCAAATGATCCCATGGTCTTTAAATGTAATGGTGGTTAGTGAAGGGATGAAACACAATCAACCACACAGCAAAACCTGTCACAATCCAACCAAAAATGGGCTGTGATTAATAGGGGAAAAATGGTAGTCGGGTCTCCACGGTGACACTGCACAGCATGACACAAATCCCAGTCAACCAATGGGACGATACCTTGACAGTTCCTCCCCCTGGGCTATGACGCACGTTGTCAAGGGAACCCACTTTGCTCCTGGCTCTCTTGTCAAAATCCAGCCTCTCCGAGACGAGCTAGGGAATCCAAAGATCAGACGAGGATCAAAACAAAGGATTAGTATGGATGATGGAGGATGATGCTGTCACTGTATGCAGGTTTGAATCAGGGAACGATACATATGGCCAGAGTAGTGTTAAATCAAATATACCGGTAAGCACAGAGCAGTCAAATACACCATGATTGCACATACAACACACTCCCCATGTACATTGTAGGCATATGTACATGTATATATTTGAAATGACTGACAAGAGCAAATGTGAAATGCCTTCTGATGCCCTGAATGTTCTTCTCAGATTTTTGTCCCATCACTTCAAATTTATATTGAAAGCAAAACGAAAACGCATGTTCCCTCAGTTGTATAAAACTAACACAATTCTAACATTTAAATAACATATTTTCTTTATGGAAAAGAAATATTTCACAATGTACAATAGGGATAGTACATTATTTTGAATGTCCCCAAAACAGACCCCAAAGTACAATGTATGTATATATTGCAGTCCTCACAAGTCAAACATACATTGTCATCTGTTTGTAACCTGAATAATTTAACAACGCTGGCTAATGTACAAGTTTGTAGCAGCAACACCAGCAGCTTTGATTGAATCAAAAGCAGTGGATGGAGTAATTGTACCGGTACCAGTGAGAGAGGTTGGGTGTGAATCCCATTTGATTATTAGTTTGAGGAGTTTTTCCAAGTTCTTGAAAGCACTCAACACTGTGCTTATCACAGCAAATGTCACTGAATTACAGGCATATAGGATCATTTGCTTTTCATGCATTTTTAATAACACCATTCTAAATAACAAAGGGGAATGTTCAAAACATGTTGAAGTTTCGGCCCAGTGGATATTACACTTTTCAAGAAAACAGTGAAAAAAAAACATGCACAACCTTCTGATCATGAACACAATTTTGTTAATATTACTCTTTATTTTCAATGATCAGTCAATCGTACATTTCTTGATTTCTTCAAAATGACAGCAAACCAGACGAAAATATTTCACGGGTTGTTTAATACCAGTATGATCTTTGATCCGAGTTAAGTATTTTGATAACAATTTGGTAGGTTACTTCTTGGATAAATGCAAATGCTTCTATATGCCATTAGGGACTATAACATGGAAAACAAAGAATAGTTTAAAAATATTGACTGCTTCAAGTGGTGTAGTAAAACTAGCCTCCCGAGATGATCCATGAAGCATTCAATTTTCCTGAGACGAAGCCGAGGGCAAATAGAATGCTCCATGGATCACAGAGGCCAATCAAGATACAGAATCTGTGGGAGAGGTGTTTTTAATATGAATAGACAATGTCAAGACGGAGAGAATCTTACATTAAAACTGATCAGTCTTCTGAACAATATAAGCATATTTAGTAGGCTGGATTTAGTAATGCTTTCACTGCAATCATTAATATTGAAGCAAAATTGGCTTAAGCAGCAATTGTCTTACAACTACTCAGCTTTTTTTTATATCTTTCTTACTGACTATAACTCTAACAACATTAATGTATTAAAAAGTTAATACCGGTACCAAATATTCGGAAGCGAATCAAATATAGACATGGTGGGAGCTTAAAGATTTCCACAAAGACACACATCACAAAATAATGAATTGAATAAAACAGAAAACAAATATTTAAAAAAAAGTAAACAATTTTGCACTGACCTGAAGTGACCTGTAATCTACATTGTTGTTCATGTACATGTATATATTGAAAGTTTGTTTGGTTGCGAGAAGAACCATTCAAAACTCAACGTTTTTCAGCAACTCATGCTCAGTTCTAACGGCAGGTGGGTCGTGGGTTAATGTTGGCTCATGGACAAGATCACTGAGCTGTGAAGAGTTTGAAGTATTGATGCATGTAGAGATATGAATACTAAAACATTCCAGAGACCCAAGCTTGGGATGGGGCAGTGGGCAGAACTGTTAGTGTGCACTCATCAAGTGTGTATAATAGTAGAGCAGAGATGTAGGGTACCAAGGGTATGAGAGCCATGGGCTTAGATGTGCAAACATTTTGCAAAGATGCGTGAACAAACTCAAACTGACTGGAGCTGTGCCTGATGCCACCTGTTTGCCATAGTAGTTCACCCATGCAGTACACACTACTCGGTATGGTGCTGGGTGAGCAAAAATGGCCAGTCATCAGTAGTGTCGGGCCCAATGGACCAATTTGCATGTGGTGGCAATATCGCTGCCTATCCACGTTAGTAATAGAGATCAGTACTCATTGAGTGTAGTAATACAGCCTAAAATAGCAGTGCAAGTAGCAGATGAATGACAAGTTTGTATTTGGTTAATTAGTGTAATTGTTTAGTTTGATAAACTGTCCAGATGATGGGATTACCTTTCTATCCTAAAATGACCAAACACTCTCCAGTGCCTTACATTGCATACTTTGGTCACTTTTTTTTTTAAGAGACTCTGCATACACAATAGGTACAAAACATCACCGGAAACAAAAAATCAACTGCAAATCACAAAAGCGGTAAAAAGTACAAAAACTAGATGCTGCTTGTTTACACTAATATGGTATATTGATAGGTGACGGACACATCAAAAAGGAAACCAGATAAGCTTGTGACAGGCAACACTTGTTTAAAAAATAGCAGCCATGTACATGTAAAATGTTCCTGGAGGACCCCCCCCCCCAAAAAAAATGGACAACAATGATTTGGAAAATCCAAGATAAATCAAATGTCCATACCATTATAAGAAAGTTATTTCAACTAGTAAATTACATGTAAGCTCTAAATTCTACAGAAACTCTGATCGCTTGAAACTACAGCAGGTAGTAACATACATACATGTAATACCACTTACATGTAAAACTTGTACCGTACATCTACATCACATCAGAACGGACAGAAATGATAGGAGAACATCAGAGTATAGTGCAGAAACCTAAAAAAAGGCTAAACATCTGCAAAACTCCACATCCTATGCCCACAGCACTTTTTTTGGTACTCATGCTAGAACGTCAAAGGTCATGCTAACATATTAAGGGTCATCCAACAGTACTGGTACAGCACACAATTGCTCGGAGAGAATTCATTCGCTCGTCATTTTTGAGAGTATATTTCCAAAATTCACCCTAAAAGCTCAATGCAAAAAAAAAAAAAAAAAAAAAATGCTGCATGACTGTGCTCGCATGGATGACTCTTTGACCCAAGTTGACCTTATTTTCATTGAAATCTGACCTTGACTTGACCCCCAGCAGGGGTGTGACTAGCTTTCTCCATGGATCCCACCTTGCTCTGGACTTTGGAGGTGAAGTCCACCTTCTGGTCCAGAATCTGAGGGAACAACAGGGGCAGACTTTAACCCCTGAACACTCACAAACTGTCAAAATGGGCAAATCATTTCACAGGAAAACTTTCCTGAAAGTGTGGCATATGTATCCTACTATCCTCAATGGCAATTTACTTGATCTGCAAAGGAAAATCATATCGCCTGGTTAACTTTCTAGTGGAGTTCTCGGAGAATCCGGCTTGAAGATTAGAGAAGCGGAACAAATAAAAAAAACTATCTTTAACATTTGTAATATAGCTAATTGCTTCATTCACTGCCTTCAGGCAGATGTCTGTAAAATAATAAAGGTGCACATTTTAAAAATTAAAAGCAGCTTAGCAATTTTTGTCATGTTAATGAATTGTTAGGCAGTTTGATACGTGAAAATTGAGATTTACATACTATGTAAAACATTGACCAAATAAGCTATGCAGTTTGGTATACAACTTTTAAACTACATGTAAAGGATGTTCAAGTTGGCGACACTCTCATACATGTGTACATGTAACTTGGATCAAACTATTTATCAAATGTTGGCCTAATGAACTTAATGAAGCAATAAAGAGTTACAATTTTTAACAAAGTTCGGCCCTTTTCAGTTCCTAAAAAGAGAAGTGTAATATTTTCAGTATGTGATATTCATGTGCTATGTTTCTTTGAAAACATGTTGAAGTGAAAGCCATCCAAAGTCTTCCTCAATGCCATGCACTACTAGTGTGCATTATTCTTTTCCAAAATTCAGTCTAACACAGCAAAATCTGCCAATTAAGTGAACATTATATTATTCAGAATTTTCTCCAGACAGTCAAACTATCCAATTTCTTTATAAAATTTGCTCTGGAATATTGTAATTCAAAAATAAGTTGTTACCTCCTGCCTGTGAATAAAAGATGAGTCTTTGCAAACTTTGTAATCTAGCTTTGTTCTCCGTCAACTAAAAACAAACATACATGTAGCCATGTCTACATTTAGTACACCAACATACAGGGTGAGTCAAAAAACCGAAACCCAAATGCCGGGGCCATTGTTTTAGTGAAGTTCTGCATGTAGCACTTTCAAAATCTAGGAAAGATGTTTAAGACCAGCTAGCCATGTCTTTATCATCCAATAGACCAATAGGAATGGGTAAACTGTCTTAGGTATTTATGAATGGCAGTTCAATCCCACCACCCATGCATTTTCCATGTAAAAAAAAAAGAAAAACAAAAAATATGTAAATCAACCCTAATGAAAATAAGAAGTCTGCATCCAAATTAAAGACGGAAAAGAATAAAAGTGTTGCTAGCATGCTTTTGATGTTAACTGTTTATGCTGCCCTACATTGTTTGTTATACTCAAAGGGTTTGCCACGTGATTTAACAGAAGCAATCTACACTACAGTCTCGTATCCCATCATGCCGTGTGCTATCCCATCATGCCCTGTGCTGACATGCAGGCTACCTTGAAGTTACTGGACGTGGGCCGATGGTGCGCATTGCTAAAGGATCCAATTCGACTCAGAGCTTTCTTTTTGAAGGATAATCTCTCCTCATATATCTAGGAATCAGGGAATATGTCATTATTGGCGGCTGATCAAATGTGCTCATATCAGTGGACCATGCAAATTCAACTTATCAGACCATGCTCCTTTTAGATGCAGGTGCAACTTTAAATTTGCAGGTGTTATAAGGTCTTGCATCCAAGGCAAAGTTCAGGCAAATTTTCTAGGCTCATATACATTCAATCAAATTTCAAAGTAATCTTAGGTATAAGTCATTTAAGAAAAGGGAAAAAACCAATCAAACATATGGTATGACACTGATTTGGGCCTGTTAGTCCCATACAAATTTAAGAATTTTAAGGTGTAGAGAACTACTTCAATGTTTAATTTTCTGTTGTTTTAGAATTTTTATTTCAGTTGCAAAACTGTGAATATGGATGAAGGGTACATTTTCATTTTTGAGGGTTTGAATTTTAAAATGAAAGAATTTTAAATGCATTTTTTAAATATCCATACTGTATAGGAAATGCAGTGCTGCTTCAATTACAGGGCATGTGACATGCATATTAATAAAAGTCTTGTTCTGCAAAGGAATGAGTTAGTTTAAGTAACTTTCATATATGAAAGGCAAAAATTAATGAACGAAAGAATTAACAGGCATAACTCTTTTGAATGTAAAAATGTGGGTCAGACTATGGCAATTTTTTGTTTTGTGTTTCAATTCAAAGTTCTAATTCCACTTGCATGTGGACTCCGTGTCTGAACAGAAGATATGATGCTATTTGACCACTTTTTTGGAGGGCTCAGTGGAGGGACACACCTCGTGCAAGCACTGGTTCTCACCCTGCACGACGTATGCAGGAGTAATTTTAAAGGGCATGACATGAATTTTAATTAGGAACATATTTTGTGCAACTTTCTACTCCTATGAAATGTACGAAAACTATGTGACATTCCTTTTTAGTTAATTTGATTGAAAAGTGCACTTCTTTATTGACATTTTAAAAATTTTCATGCTTTTCCTGACAACCAAGGGCGCTGGTGCTGTGATGTCATTTTAGGAAGCCACTGCGCAGTTTAGGGGTTTTCTGTTCAAATTGTGAACCCAAAAATTTACTCATTGAAAACATTTGTGAGAAAAGTTTGCTCATTGGCTTACTGTCATATAAACTGACACAACAACGAGTCACCAAAGAAACAAAATTGCACAACAGTAAAATATCAACAAATTCTGGCAACTTTTGGTGCTAAAAAGCTGTAACATTGAAGTTTCTGCCTAAAATGCCATCACACTTTTGCTCATGAATATTGTAATTTACATTAGCATAAAAAAAACCCAAAATGCACCAAAATACCCTTGAAAATGGTGAAATGATTATTGAAAACAAGGTTAATTGGGACACAAAGGTGCATTTTCAAGGATTGCATTAATTTTTTTTACATTTTTACATTACCTAGCCCTTTAATCTGAATGTGCACAAACCATGCAGTATGCCTGGCGTGAGTGCTAGTGCCAGGCATATGGATACGATCAAATTAAATGTCCCTCCCAATGATCTCTCCAAACTCTTCCTTTGAAACTGTTGAGGGGGTACTTGTGCACGGAGTCCACCATGTAATTTAGATTTTGGAAGGCTACATTAAATTACTGGCATCCAATAAAAACCAACACCTTTGAGGATGACCCCTTAGAACACACAAATAGAGCTAGTAATATGCAAATGAGATTTAAGCAACATGCATATTCAAAATATACCTTGAGGTTCCCGCCCCCTGGTGTATGGTATGAATTGTCTAACGAACCTATACGGCTCCTAACATACATGCTGATGTCTAACTTCTGATCAAAAATCTGCAAAATATGTGGAAATTGTGTGAAAATGATTGATTTTGATTGTTGTACTTGCCGGTAAAGACGGTACACTTCAACAGACTGTCCTTTCAAAAGAAATCATTGGAAAATAGTGCAATAAAAAAAGTCAAACTCTAACAGTGCCAATACAGAAACGTAAAATAAAACCAGTCTTATAATGCCACTATCAGTGCAAGGGGAAGAATTCCCTCACTTCATTTCCATTGCACAATCGTAACTCAACATTTAGCTTTATTAACCAGTTCGCGCCGGGATAATCTTGATATGACCCCACCGAGGCACGGGATTATTTGCTACTCAACTTCAATGCCAGGCGGGTTGAAGCCATGACCCTTGGGCAGAACACTCATACTTCTGGCCTAGGCTGTTGTCTGCGGGTAGCTGACAGATATTTTCCGGCCTCGCTCATTACGTGTTTACCGCAATTTTTCTGAATACTGCAAAACCTTTTCGTGTATACACGCGAACTGGTTAAATGCTACCTGCATGGGTGTTGATGATCGCTACTAAAAACTTTGGTTACCGATTGACAACCATGGAGGACAAAGGGTGATAACAATTCATAGCTTATGCGGCTCCGTTTTCTTTCTTTCTTTCTTTCTTTTTTTTTTGGGGGGGGGGAGGGAGAGGACCTAGACCTGGTGCATCATTGCCTCTGCAGTTGTTGCTGCTTAAAATACGTGCATTGACAGATCAAGTCTTAAAAACGAACTTTTATAACTGAAAATACGGAATCAACCTTACTAGAATTAAATATATGTGACACTGATTGATGCACATGTCTACCTGTAACAGTGATCAAATACCACACCGCAACGCTGAATGATCCCTCAAAACGTTGCTTTAACCAGTGCTCACATATAATACAATTTATGGCCTATATTATTGCAAATGCAACCATTGAAGCAACATGTTGGCTCAAAAAATGTTTGTGTGGTTATTGAGAGCTGGGAACATCATGAACAGACCACAAATAGTGACAAATACTGTACAGGAACATGATGAAAACCAAGGTAAGTGCTGCAAATGTTAGGTCACAGACAAGAGCAAGGTTAATGGCCCTCTAGGATGAAAAAAGGGCTAACATGGCAAGTTCTGCCGCTTGAATGGGTATTTGGCTTTGCAAGCGAACCCTCATTGTTCCACTGCAATCCCTAGCAGATCTAGAGAGAATTGTTAGCTCTATCTTCAAGGCAATCAAATACTTCAGAAAACACTGCTGTTCATCACGATGGTACTTCGGAACATTACATTGTCAAAATGAAAATTAGGAAAATGAATATTTTTTGTCTTTGACAACCTTATTCATCCCAAACTACTTCAAAATTTTAGAAGAATCTTACTCTAGAGCTCAAAATTTAAGTGTGTAACTCTAAGTTTACACTGTGGAGTTACATTCACCAGTTGAAGCTCTGAGTTTTTTTTATTTTAACTGAATGTTGTCTTGCAAATCCATTGCTTTACTCATAAAAACTGTGATAAAATAAATTAGAGTAGCAAGGTACATATACGTGTATGGTTGTCATAAACGAATATAACAAGACCTGAGCAATCTGCCATGAATGATTTGTAACAGTCCATAGACCACTGATGAACCAATCCCAACACAATGAGAATCCCTCTCTCCACCAACTCACAGAAATCAGTGCTAGATAACTGCAGACCAAAACATGTACACCTTCCCACTGCAAACCCACGTGGCAATGTGTATAATATCACCTTTTTATACGGACGTTGCAACTTTTTAGGACCAGGACCGGCACTTTTGGTTTTACGTCCATCCACTTCCGCCAGGGGTGGGGTTGGGGTGGGGGATTTATTTTGGCGGTCACGTTTGACCAGTGTCATGTAAATAACAAACGTAGTTTTCTTGTTCCTGTCACAATCAGCTTGCTTCTGAATTTTTTTTGATGAAATACAACAAAAAGCCTCAATAAATATGCATCTCAAGTCTTGCTGATTAGGTGCTATCTAGAGAAGTCGACAGAGAAAAGAAGTTTTTTAAAGTAACAAGTGGTCAAGTGTTACATGTACATTTCATAAAACTAAATACAACTGATACGCAATCCAGGATATATTGTAGAACATTAATGTAATTATTGTGCAAACATTATCTCATTTATCTTATCTTAAAATGTTCTAGACTCATCGGCATTGATTCAAATTCTAACATATCTGTAATTTGGTAAATGACAACTTGAACACTTGACTGGAATGAAAAACACCTCTTCATTGAAAACAAATATCACCGAAATCCCAACATCAGTTTATTTAATCCCAAATTGAAATATTTTGGAATGTTTAGTAGAATTACTTAACCTGAAAAGAATGAAAAATATTTTTGACCTGTAATTATTCAATCATAAATTTTCAGCCATATTCAAATTTTTTTTTATGATAGGAAGTTCACAATGGCCACATCAGTACGTACCTTTACATTACCACCCCCGGGTCTGTGCTTGGAATTGTCCATGGAGCCACACCTTGACTGCACTGTGCTGAAATCAACCTTCTCTGTCTGTATCTTCACCTGTAGACAAAATAGTACAGTCCGCAAATGACTGTTTATTTGTTCAATTTTGTATTTTAAGTTTTTAGTTTAATTGGCTTAATTTTTAGGTGTTTATATATGTTACGTTTTGTCTATACCCTTTTTTGCTTGCGTTTTTAAACTTGTGTTATTCAAATTTCTCTAATCCTTATTTTGGATTTTTTTAAAGCTTATTTGGAGTGGTATGAATTCAGGCAACTGACATGGTCCGACAGTAGACCTGTCATTTATACCTGATGGAAAACAGCTGTTTAAGGGGGGGAAATGTCTCAGAATAACATAATTTCATTGAGATATAAAATTTAAAAGAGTGAATTATGTTATCTATGCACACGTAACTTCCAAGTGTGTAAATTTTACCAAAATGTTAACACCATTATCACAGATTCAAACAATTGGTAGTACCATGTGCAAGATAATCTGAAAATCCATGTTAAGGTATTTATAATGAGATGATATCTAATTCATTTCAATCTAGATTAAAGGGAATGTACAACATTTGCTCATGCTGCAATTTTCAGTAGTAAATGGATTTGGGGGATTAGAATGTTATAGCAAATATTGTTAAACTGACTTGTTTCACATATTGGGCTTGAAGATGCTGGAAAAACCAAGAAAACATCATGTTCTTGGAGTCTGGTTCCCTCCACTTAATATGAAACGGAGCAGTTTATCAACTTTGGGGAATTGTAAGGTCAGAGAATCAGTCCGGCAGGCTTTTACCCCTTCACAGGTGTGTAATCAATTGCAAAGAAAATGCGGGAAAAACTAATTATGAAAATGTAAGAGCAGTTTTTGAAAATAGCCAGTTTTCTCCAACGCTGTTTCTTGAAAATGTCGGCACACCAGGAGCCACGATTTTACAGGATACTTTAGACTGTCATTCCCTAACCATCCAGTAAGATATTTTGTGATAATTTGATTATTTCATTTTTTGATGTTTGCAAATGTTGTATCTTCCCTTTAAATTACAAACATTTGAGGGCACTTAAAAAAACTGATCAAGCAGACTGGAACTTTAGCAATCATACAAAAATGCAATGGGTTTGTGTATCCCGTTGTGCAGGATCAAACTTGTACCCTTGTTAGCAACACAGTGCCATGCATCTTCACATTTCAGCATGGAGTCCGTAGTCCAAACATTGTTTTCATACATTGAAAAGTGCAATGTACTTGAAGTTGTCAGCGCTGTTGTGATCAGGTCATAACAGTGAGAAAGTGGCCAGCTGTAGAGTCATTGAGATTACTGTCATACAGGCTATCAATGATGTGACATGTTACACATGTGACAGACTTCAGGCAGGTGTATACATTTGATAGGACAAAACATCCATGGCAAAATACACCAGAATTGAAATATGTTGATTTTTTTGCAAATACACAGTATCTTTGACCCAAAAAAGATCCAAATTAGGGCTAGGACAGATACCCAGGTACCCGATACCCAACCAAAAAATGCTGAGTTCCCAGTTCCATTTTTCAGTTTATTACCCAAAACCTTCTTTGCAGGTACATACATGACCTTTCTGAAGGGGAGAAGAATTTTGTTATAAATAAGTTGCCAACAATAAAAGAAAAAAGAATAAAAGACAGACAATAGGGGGCTTTGCACACAAGGAATGCTTAATTTATGATTCAAACTGCCGAAAAATACAGACGGAGATCATCATCATCATCATCCTGTCGACCACAGTCGGGCCACAGTTGGGCTTTGATACCACAGTTGGGCTTTGATACGACTGCCCCACTCACTCCGGTCCACCATAAGGGTGGTTAGCTCGCCGGCTGTCTCCACTCCAGTGTCTTTCTTCAGCACCCCCACGTGGACATTCGAAAAATCACGGTGGCGGATTAGAAGATTACAGTGAACAGTAAAATAGTATCTTTTTAGTTGTCTGTTTGTAAATTTGTTAGCATGCGACTGTTTAAAATAACCACAGAAAACAATAAGGGACCATGTTAGACATTTTCCCAGTTGAAAATTCACAACCTTAACTCCGTGTTTGAAAGATGCTGGGAATTGGGAGAGGAAGACACAAGCTGAAATAAGAAACAAACAAATTATAATGTGGAAACGAGCTCACTGGGGACATGAACTTCAATGGCAGCTGAAAAAAGGGGGAAATGTTACTGTACTGAGTGGCCATTCCTATCCTGTGTGCTTACCTTGCCTCCTCCTGGTGTGTGTTTTAAGTTATCTTTGGAGCCAATCTTAGACTGAACACTCTTGGTGTTAGGAAGTGTGGTTGGAGCTGTCTTAACACGAGGTGATGTCGGCTCCGATGATGCTAGAGAAAATTGAAATATCAGACTTTACTTTAAAAAAAAACAATTCAAAAAATAATATAAAATAAAATAAATCTTATTCTAAACTGTTAGAATGATTATTTTAGAATTAAAAAATATGAAGAGCTAAATATTCAGTGTAGTCCACACAGGCAGATGTACTGCTATTGCCGATGACAGCTGTTTTGGCATAGTGTAATGAACTGCACTCCTAACACTTTTCAATTTTCCACAAATGTACACATGTTCACCAAACAGAATTACATGTAGCAAGTGACAAAAAAAGTCATGTGACTTCTTCTCGAACATAGCATAACTGTATTTTCAGAACTTGTACTTCAAATTTGCAGAAAATCTACTTTTTGGCCAAGTTTGCAAATACTGTAGATGGCAATATATGTTTGAGAATGCAGATCCATACTTTCATGACAGAATTTGTACATGTGTAGTATTAATGTAGTTACATTTTATACAAATATTTAAAGCCTGCAGCATCCATGTGAGTTGCACCCACATGGGCAAATGATGTCTGGCACACCAACTGTTAAACTTTGTATCAGTATTTATTGCCAAGAAAAAAAAAAAGAATATCGAAATATTAATATAGTACTTACATTTACTTTGCTCTCATCAATGGCTATTTACAATGTGATGCACAAAAAAACAGAACTAGGCCTTGAAAAAATGACCATTTTAGGATGTGAAATACAGTACCGTAAGTACAAATGTAAGTAATGTATTGTCCAAGGGAACTAGCCTTACTTGATCTTCTAGGGCTGCTCTTTCCACTTCCAACATCACTTCTTGCCTTGACGTGAGAGTAGTCCACTTTCTGATCAAAGATTTTGACATTACCACCTCCTGGTTTGTGGCTAGTATGAGTGACAGTGCGTGGCTTGACCCCAGACATGTTTACCTGTACAGACACACCCATAGAAATCCAACGGTCAAAACAAAAGTACTTGACGTAAGCAGACACTTCTGGGCAGTTGGTCAATAACTTCCGCTTTTTAAAAATATTGTTTAAGTAGAGATCTCCCCTTTTACAGTGACAGTTTAATCCTTAAAAGCAGACACTTCTGGGCAGTTGGTCAATAACTTCCTCTTTTTAAAAAATATTGTTTAAGTAGAGATCTCCCCTTTTACAGTGACAGTTTAATTCTTAAAAATGAACCTTCCTTGGAAAAATACTGGACATTCAAATGTTAATGAATAATGTTTTCCTTATAAAATGCACATATCCACCATTATTGGTGCTTAAGGCGTTACATTACTATTACCCCCCCCCCCCCCCCCCCCCCCCCCGCTCATTGGGCCAATGAAAGTTTGTGATGTCACAGAGATGCAAAAACTCACCAGTTGAGGCAAAATTATGATCCAACACTTTCACAGTATATTTTGGACATATTCACAAATTAAAAAAACTGCCATGCTCCACCTTGAAGTGTCTGTTTTTGACAGAACTGGATGACTTATGAATGTAATCAAACTTGTAAGATTAGCTGGCTAAGTTGACCCTCTAAAAAAGTAAAAAGCACAAAAAGCAATGTCTATTGGAAACAATCTTTTTTCATCGGCACAAATGATACCTTAATTACGTACCTTGCTTTCCAAAATCTTGACGTTGCCACCACTTGTTGTGTAGTTGTCCTGTTGGCTGTCAATTCTTGCTGTGTCAGATTTGATAACACACGAGTTGGGTCGGGGAGATGTTTTGCCCTTTGGTGACCGCGGCTTGACTGTCTCCTCATACGAGCCCACAGACTTGGGTCTTTGCTTCAGCGAGGGTATCTTTGTCGGTGTTCCCTTGCGTGGTGACGGGGAGCGTCGCGGGGAGGATTTCTCGTGTGGAGAAGGCGGTGGGATCTGGGAGGGGGAAGGAACTCGGTTGCTGATCCCCTGGGGTTCCTTGGGGAGGGATTCAGGCTTGAAGGCTTCGCAAGGTGCCGCGTCTGGCTCACCTGGTAGTCGTAAGATAACCAGAAGATAAATGTTTACAAATTGAAATTTTAAATGAAAACCAAAGATTGTTCATATGCAAGTGCCTATGCAGACTGCTGGACTGCTCATACTGCTCACAAGCCTGTGAAGAGGTGGCAATGAACAAAGGAGGACAACTTGAGTCAAATATTGAAGCACATAAGATGTGAACTGCCAAACTCAATCTGCATGTCAGCATGGTAGGATTCAAACCCAGACCAGAAAACAAAATATCCCATAAAGGCAATAGTTGCCATATGATACATGTAAATGACTTTTTTCCTGTGGCTTTTCTAAGGGCCTATATTTCTCCATGTCTTTAATACTGCAAGACACCCCTTCAAGACATTCTTTATCCTACTACATTCTGGGCCTACGCATCAGCCACATTTTTCATTATTGAGTAGAACATGTGTCATATGTCATTTCCTTATCATATGCATCAGATCATGAACACCAAATTGAGACCAAGGACGAACATGGATGCTTCTGTCTGAGTGAACACAAACCAATAAGAAGCCAAACTCAAACCCAGTTATTACATGTATTGAAGACGCACAAGTGATTCTAATGCCTTTTGCGTAAAAAAAAAGGTGTAAAACTGATCTGTGCACAAAATTTGAAATATGAAGGCATCTACATAATTTGTGCATTATTTTGAATGGCAACCACCTTGCTTTTGAATTGTTATTAAGCCTTGGAAGGAATCAAATGTGTATGCAAACTGGAGCATGTACATGTGTAAGTGTCCATCTATAATTTGGGGTTAATTAACATATTCTCACACTGCTGACTAGTTGCTTGGAAAGCCTTGCTTTATTAGTTATCATGTATTAATCGGTGCAATATTGCTGGCTGCTGTGATGTGGGATATACATGTAACACCCGAGGAGTGCATACTATGCACCCTGAGGGGGTTAAAAACAACATAGCAGTCAACAATTGTATATTGTGCCAATATTCCCGTCGAAATTCGTGCCAATAATTGTATATGCAATGTGGTATATGTGAGGTAAATTATATGCAACGTAGAATACATACCGGTATGAGGTAAACAGTCATTTTTATAATATAAACTGAACACGTGGCCATTCTCGACCAATGAAATTACAGTAACCAAGACACGATATAAAAATGCCACTTAATAGCATTACATGTATTATTTTGGTGTATTATTCAGATGCATAATATTTCAGTTTATAATTTTAATTATCTTTTTTTCTTCAATAATATAAAATGCATGCAATCCTAACTTACACTGATAATGTATGTAAAAATGAGGTTTACAACTTGTTGTTTATTGATGAGGGACATGAATTGCATGACAAAAAGTTCACACTAACTTGAAGTTCAATACAAATACATACAGTATGGACACAATTGTGCACTGCATACCTTTCACATCAAGAAAGTAAACAGAACAAAAAAAATATTACCTCAGTTGGTAAGACCATGGACGAAAAGGATAGCAAGATAAACTTTAATCTAGGGTAGGAGGTGACTCATAACTTGAATGACGTCATCGCAGTAAGATGCGACCCAAGGTGCATAGGATATCCTGTCTTATTACCATGGTACCTTCAAGGTACTGGTCATAGCAGTTTAAAGTGCACAACATTTTGGGCAACACTCAGGTATAGTTTTCTTTAGGAGGGGTCAGTTTTTAAGACAGCAATCACAGAGTACAGGGAAGAGCGTAGACCAACATCCCAATGCTGTTCCGATTCTTAGAAATGGGTGTCACGGCAGGAAGAGAGCTCAAGCCTGTTTCTAAAGGCTCTTCGTTTATATAGAAAAACATTTAAGCCCAGGAAGGGGTTAACTTCCAATCTTAAGTTGAAGAGACTTTTGGTGCGCATACTGTAGGCTTGATGATTGCAGGGTACTACTTCAAGTGGGAAGGTTGATCCAGTATCTTAGTTCCTGTTCCACAGAAAAACTTCCTAAACACCCACAGTTGGAGAATGTTTAGCTCTCACGTTATTCACATTCATTTTATTTCATAAAAGTTTCAGTGCTTTTGTGCCCGTTTAGTCCAGTAAGAATTGGCGAGGAACCTAACATTTTAGTTAACAGACTAATATTTCTCCCAAAAAAATTCAACCAAATCAACCTTGGAAAATATGTAAATTTCATTACAAAACAAAAGAGATATGGGCAATATATTATAGAAGGCATGTATTTCAACTATCTAAGCGAAATCCTATCCTTTGAATGAATGGCAAGGATCCTTGCAAGTTTTCAACTTAAAATAATATAAAATGGCAAAGGCGCAAAATTAGTGAAGATTATGACCAAATTTATTATGAAGCAAGCATTTTAAGAATGTCATTGTTACCATCGTCATTATCATAATCACTGTTATCCCCATCAAAATGCCAAATGGCTACTGCCTTCAAAACTCTTCTCAATTTTCGGAAATAGATGCCCCCCCCCCTCCAGAAATTAGATTGTGCTCCCCACCCCAACCAAACCCCCTCAGAAGTTGCTGACAGAAATTAACTTTTATTGTTAAAACGCATTAAGTGCCCTTACTTAAAATGAGGCCACCCTAAAAGATAACCACCACTCCATTTCCCCAAGGACAAATTTGGGTGAATGTTTTGTGCGTGTTCATGGCAACCATACAAAGGATTTTGAATAAAAATTTGGTTAACTAAAATGTCAGAGTCGGATACTTTTCACGTCAATTCTGACTGGACTAGTTTCAGCCAGGGCTTCTTTTGTTTTTTATGACACACCAACCTTGCAAAATCAACAAGAAATGGGAGAAGATCCAGGAACTTCTATTATTTACTAATATATTGCTTTCAAACCCATTCTCTTAAAACTGAATGGGTCTGTGGAGTGTTGAATGGTAACGGCATTGCAACTGTTGAAAACTTGCAAATGAATAGATGTTTCTATCAACTGATGAACATATACACAACTATATTCCGATGAATGCCCAATATGGTGCAAATATATTGAAGCTTGGGAATTCTGTATTAATTTTAAAGCATGGCTCATTCCGTGATACCACACAAATTTCTGGTCATGTCACCTTTGTGTATATATAGGCTATGCACATGTACATTGTACATCTTTCAACTTTCACTTTTTTTTGTCAAATTTTAGACAATTCTTGGCTTCAACAAGGGCCATTCCCATTCAATCAGGCACAGTATCAATCTGAAACATTTCCCTGAATGAGAGGACAAAGAAGGATCTGACAATGAACATTTTTTAATTTCAAAATGAAAAAGCCCGATCAGAGCTGCTCTGAGCTAGGTTGATTTGAATACGAGGTGTTTTTATCAGATAAAAATCACAAGAGAGATTGGTTATTCTCCTGAAGGATCCTCTGTCAATCAATTCCCCCAGCATTTGGTTGTTTTCAATCACTTTCACCCAGGCGGGCACTGCATAGCCGTAGGCTGTAGTCCTGTCTCTTCACTAAAAGAGTAAACAAGTTCCAGGTTGCCATGGTAACAAGCCTCTCACAAAGGAGGGAATTTTTTTTGCCACGAGGCAGCCAGCTCTCAGGTGATTGCTTGTACCAATCAATCACATTTAGAATTGTCTTACGGTTGGATTTCTTGCGTTCATGATGAATGCTTTACAATCAATGACAATTTAGCTGTTGCCCCACGGTATTTTCATGGGTGATTTTTAGAGCGTGTTTTTTTTTTGAAATCTTTGGTGCACTTTACCACCTGAGCTTACTCGCTCTATGTTGGCAGTCTCAAAGTTTGTAAATGTCTGTGTTCCAGGAAGTTCTAATGAGACATTCAACTTTTATGCACAATATGACAACTAAAATTTTGGAACTTTTATGAACAATATGACAAGTAAAATTTTGGAATATTACTATCAAATTTCATTTACATGTCATTGAACATTTATGTGGCAAGGTTAAAGGTGCAAAGATTAAAACAATTAGAATGCATTCCTTGTGTTATTCTTTATCATACTATTTATCTGTTTACAAAGATATTAAAATTCAAAGCGACCCTATTTTCGGAGCGCTTTCGGTACAACCTGGTTCGCATGGGAGGTTATCTAGTATTTGGGGGTAGGGTTGGGGGAATTAAAGTAGTTATGTTGGGGGTCAGTATGTGCATTTCAAAGCTAGTTCATTCTCACTGATGTACAGTGTAATTCACATGCATAAATACACTGAACTACATGTACAATGTACATGCATGCAAGTAATTTTTTACTATCACAGCCTACTTAAGTGGTCATTCAAATCACCATGCAGCATTTTCATTGAAGACTGGCGCTTATCGTTTCATTCATTTTGATCTTTTGGAGCGATATCAAACCCAGTCAACCCTACAGTTAAGTAGAAATTACCAGGTGTTAGTGATGTCTTGCTGGCGTTTTCAAAAGCAAATGAGGATTAGCGTTGGTACAAGGGTTGGGTATGACGCCATGCATAATGGTATTTGTGCTGCTTGGCTAGGGCCATGGTGAAATGTGTAGGTGCTTGCACTATACTGCATCCCTGTAAGCTGACAGATGTCAAATATTTGTACACCACAAGAAACTGAACAAACAGAACTTCAGAAAACCAGTAGCTGCAGTGATTTTGTATTTCATTTAACTTTTTCTTGGGGGGGGGGGACATTTGTACCTTAATTCAATAGCCACGGGTATACATGTTCATGTGAGCTGAAATACATACATTGCACTTTTTATGATTTTTGACATCCAGACTGGGAAAAAGGGCTGTCTATATGTTTCAGTATAATTTGTCAGATTTCATCTTATAATGGTTATGTATGTTTTAAATCAAACAAAAATTATCTATAGCAAAAATAGCATTTACATATATACTCAAACATATCAAACAACATTTGAGTAATGGGTGATTTTGAATTTTGTGTTTTTTCCCCCATCATTTCACCCACACTTATCATCAAAGTGCAAGACCATTTACAGTTTATTTCTTCCCAAGGGAGAGATTCCAGAGAAACCCAATCTTTTGAGATCATAAAATCAAATATTGAAATCACAGCAAGCTTTCCACTCTAATTGAATTGAGCTCCCAGCCTTAGATATCCATTTACTGGAGCAGATGACTGGGATACACCACCCCCTGCCAATAGTGGACATATGTCAGATTATTTATGGGGCAACGGAGGTTGCATTAAGTTCAGTCATATCAAATTTATTTAAGAAGTGCAAGCTGATGTAAATAGAAAAGCTTGTTTGTAAATATTGAACATCTTTCAATTCAGTGTTTAAATTTTGTTTACCCAATTGTTCATTAAAATATCACTATGTTTCTAGTAGTACTTGCAGCACGTTTAATTTGTTGCAGTTTGTCATCTATGTGATTGCAATCCTAAGGGTGAAGGGGTATTTTTTTAATGGGTATTTTTTTTATAATGTTTTACGGTTATTTTTGTTTAACTCTGGAAGGAGGAAACACAGTTTTTGTTTGCGATTGGTCTGCAGTTTCTGTGCAAAAAAAATAGATGAAATTTCCATTTTTTTTGTAGCAGATGACTGTCCAAAAGAAGGAATTTCCACATGATGGTTTTCAGTGGTTTTGCACGTTGATTGAACAAAAGAAGATTGCTCAAATAAAATGTGTTTTTATATTGACATTTTTCTACAACCTGTTGTGGACTGTTTAAGATTTTCCTCATATCACACAAAAAAACAAACCTCGACAAATAAAAGTATGTGACCTTGAAACTGATGTTCTTCACAGAAATTCTCCATTATACAGATGGACTTAATTTGTGCCAACTTCTTGACCCCATAAAACCTGCTACTGCCATCACAATGTTCAAGTGCAGCGCACATACGGATATTAATTTACCCTGACTGTGTACGATTGCAATTACAGATTTGGAAGCACCTGAAAATTTCACAATTCAAAAGGATTTAATTTGTTTAAAACCTAAAGAACAGCCAACATAATGCCTATGCAGAAATTCAGAATAACCCCCGATGACACAAATAGCAGAACAATTCATCGTTTTTTAATACAAACATCATTCAAAGACTGCTGGGAAATCAACCAGTAATGTGGTATTAGAGTGAATGGTCTTTGCTGGGTATCACTGACCTGCGTCCTGCTACACTACAAGCACAGGACCTTGTACATTTTGTTTCATATTTTTTCAAAGCTGATAACAAACAGCAGCTAGACAAAATTCATCAATATGGCATTGTATTGCACTATTCCAGGACCAATTACTTCATTAGCCAGCTTGCTTTTCTGATTGCACGCGCAGACAGTGTGTACATGTAAACGTATTATCAGTTGCTACTAGAAATGCCACTGTAATCGTTAATTAGACTGCAGAGCCTTGTTTCTTAGGTAACGTCAGGTTGACAATATCTGATGCAGCCAAGCCTGTCCTATATTGAAGCGCATCCACAATAACTTGACGTCTATCTGCTCATCCTGAATGAAGTAGTAATATATAATGTGCTGTACGTTTGGCACATCATCAATTATGAACATTACATATACTTGCTCCATTGTACTCAATGATCCATTTGCCTCTATATGATTTATGGAGCTGCTGACGTGAAGGTACAATGTACGTTACCTTTGCTGTAATGTGTAATATGATATACAGTTCTGGCATGGCACATCACTATAAATAAGGGAGTTTGGAACTGGAAATTTCATGCAGGACGGAAAGGTCAACATATCTTAATGCAATATGGAGGAAACAAGACAGGCATTTGAAAGCATAAAGGGTTGAAAAAATGTATATCGAGATGCTCATGATGCAAACATTGGTGGCATAGTCTTGCCTTCACATACAAACTTCTCATCCCCTTAAATGGGATGTATCTTTTTTTTTTGCCTTTTTCCCGAGGGAAAATGTTATTGGTCAACACTTAAATCTCAAAGTGGTCACATTTCAAAGCTACTGCACACATACACTGTGCTGTCAACTAACTAAACTAGAGAAATTCCTAGTTTATGTAAATCATGGTGGATAAAGTAAAATATGCGTGGATACAATCCACACACAGACAGGTGGTTACATTATTATAAATGAGCAAAAATTATGCTGTCAATTATGACTTCTTATGGAATTTTGCTCTGGTTGTTTGTTGTAATTGTAACTTTGAATGCAATGTGATTAATGTGTTGCTGTACCAGGTATGACTTCAAGCTAAATGAAAATCAGACATGCCTGCTCACAGGCACAACTCAAACATAAACAGGTGCTATGAGCTATTGGAAGGACATTGGAAGATGTCCTTAATTCTACGACTTGGAAGACATCCTTAATCTTATGACTTCTACAACTGTCACAACACACATCATGGAACTATCATTGCGCACCATTATACATGTGATTCATTGCAGGCTACATGCATATGGGCAGGTTACTGTTTAATTGTCAATATTGACATATGCGGTATAGTCAGTGTTTTTAGCCTGCCCAGCACATGTTTATTGATTGATTGGTCACATCATGGCTAGGGGACCGATCAAATTAAAGTGCTTTGCGCATGCATAGTAATGATTAACCAGAAAATATGGCTATCCCAAGTAATAATGAACTAAGCGTCTAGTGAAGTGTCAATAACCAGGCATGCAACTGGGAAATCACAAAAAAAGAGGAAATTCTAATTTTTACCAGACTTTGTACAGTGTTTTTCTATTTTCAATGGCACACATGGGAAGTACAAAAAGAGGAAATCAGCTGATCCGAGGAAAAGTTGCATGCCTGAATAACAAGTCCAACATCAATGCAACTGACTGGGAAAAAATATTGAAAATGAGTATATGAATTGCATATTTTAGTTACAAATATAAGAATGAAATTGAGAGTGAAGTACGTTTGTGTAAATGTTAGTAAGGGGAAAAACCTACATTATTAAATCACTCGTTTAGTTGACGTTTGTGGTATCAAACTAATTTTCTGTGCAGTGATCAGAGAGATCGCAGTATAACAATGTCCACCCCAAAAGACTCATTCTCAATGATATATTTTTGTGTCCACAAGTCCTGCAAAAATATGCAAAGATTGAAAAATAAAAGCCCCTTCCTTAACAATTAAGGACGTGTAATGCTCCACTTGCCTGCAAATTATCAAGATTAATATTTACACCATATCACCAATTAAAGTCAGAGTTTTCTTTGCCACATGTGTGCGTGAAAAAAAAATTGAATAAGTTTCTTTGCAAGGAATTAATAAAAGAAATTTTAATAAAAACAAGAGGATTTTCATAAAACTGCCTTCAGTAAAGACAAAGTGAAAAAGCTCCCCATTTGCATAAACAGCATAAAAACACCGGGAGCTCATCAGCAATTTTTAACTCAATTTCCTTCACTTAGATAATTTGAAGGACATAGACCATGTGTGACTGAAGAAATCCTATGAGCATGTCCAGGCACCTAGTACCTAGTGGTCTGTTCCTTGCTCTATGGGTACATACAAGGAGAAAAATAACTGAGTCATCTTAAACGATGTAGAAATAGACAACTGGCCTCTTCCTTCATTAAAATGTAGATTGGTATAAATGCAGTCCCAGAATACTACTAAGTAAATTTCCATTTTGTCCTTATTTGATCCCACATTAATATTCCTTGCTAATTTTTTTATCACAAAAGAAAATCAGAAAATCACACTTAGTTGTAATATTGTGCATTTAATTTAATCAAAAAAGAAAACGAAGTGCTTTTTTATCACAAAAGAAAATCACACCAACATGCAATAGAGTAATAAACATCAAATCAAACAAAATCTGTTGTGTTATTTTATTCATAATGCATACATCATGCATTCATGCAGACATTAATGCAAAAAAATAATCTGCCCCAATCTCCACACAACATGCCAATGCAGGAGGGGGTGGGGTTCAGGTTTAGTAGCACATCACACCAGCACGGCAAATCAGGAAGGAGGCAAAGAGTTCACTCATATCACTCACCCTGGGAGTCTACTACCATCCCATTAATGTCCAGACTGGCATTCACTATTTGGTTAGCATCCAGCGGATACGAATGTCCATTTGAAACCGTGCCCCCATTTTGGATCAAGTCGGGCGCTCCATTTTGCGCATCCTTTTCAGGGTCGTTGTTGTTGGGGGTCGGCTCAAATGCAGATAGTGAGGCTGCTTGGTTATCGTTTGGTAGGAATACCGTGTCATCAGCCATCTTGGAGTACGTATAAGGAGGGTGTGTTGGAGGGGGGATGCTGGCTACTACAAATCCAAGGTTGGATGCTAAAGCTGAATGACGCACAAGACAAAGATGAAAAGATGCATATTCTGTCAAGCTACTACGAACAATATACAATAATACCAGTATAAAAACAAATCCATTCCCAAGCACTCTGTCACAATGGGCTATATCCATGCATGCAGTTCTGTGTGTACAGCTTTATCATTAACTCCAAGTGGACCAAAAACTAACAAACAAACTAGTAAAAACCAATTGGAAAATCTGCTACATTTAAGCTTCTTTTTTTTTTAATTTTCAGTTTTACAGTAATTCAGTTTGCTATAGTTTACAAGTATATAAATGTATTAAACATACCTTTGAAACTTTGAATCAAACTGTATTTCACAATCACATGAAACAAATTATCCAGTAAATCATGACTGAGTGAGTCAAATCCATTGATGTAATAACGAAAATTGACTTAAAATTAGAAATAAACTCTTTTACTGAACAAAATCAGAATACAAGTCAATATTCTGAGAATCCTTTCACACAAATTTCCATTCACTCTTTTAACCAAGCCAACTTCTAAAATTCCATCAGATCTGAGGAACGCGACTCCTTCACACATGAGTAAAAAAGAAAATTGGACACAAAAACAACACTCGCCTGCTGTGTTATTGACACGCATAGGTGACAACTCCCATACAACCTGTGTGATGACAGCCTCACTGTACAATGGTACAATGTACTCTCTCAAACACAAAATCTCGAACATTGACACACCTCAAAATGCCTTAAGAAAACAGCTGCACTGGAGTTAAATATTTAAAAAAAAAAGACTTACCTCTTAAGGTTTGAACAAAAAGGAAATCCTTTAAAAAAGGATTCCTTTCTTTGAAGGAACTGCAAATAGGAGAGTGCTACTGTGCGATCAGTGTGTGACTAGACTGTGAATATGCGTGTGTGTAGGCTTTGCGGGGTGACATGTGTAGCAGGCCAGCACTGGGTTTTCAAGTGCCTGTGTTTGCCTCAATCTGATTAACATAATATAGTAGGGGTATGGCAAGTGTGGGCTCACACTCACAGACCTAGCAATTCAATTATGCCCAGTGGCTGCACTAAGTGACATGTTGAGAACACCGGGACTTACAATATGTTGGCATGATGTTATTATTACAAATGCGCTGGCTTCCAAGTCCAAATTTGTTCTGAGATGAAAGCCTTAGTATCTATAACACAAAGTGAATAGCCTTAACTTGTGTTTAAATTGTACAGGCTATTGTCTACAAAGTTTCAATAAAACACAGCTTCAATCAGTTTCAACAAAAGTTTAAAGCTGGGACAATGCTTGAGTGGTTATTCCAACTGACTGCTTCAAAAAAGTACAAGTAGTCTGTTAAAAATGCATTTTTAATTTTCACAAGTGCATTAAAAATTATAACTAAAACTAAAACCTCCAATATGTACAAACAAAGTAAGTGCAATGGGATTAAAGTTCAAGTTGCTCTTCTTAAATGCTATTTTCGAGTTTCATCCTTAAATTTGTTATTTGCTATTTTTCTAGAAATACAGCTTAATTTTAAATGAGACATCAGGGGAAAAAACAACACTCATGTTTATTTATGGGATTATTACTTTTTGAATTATTTTGGACCCAACAATAATTTAGGTAGATCTTTTTGTGTGTTAGAAGTGCCTAGTAGTAGTAGTTTCGTCCGTGTATAGCCACAAAAAGGAATGTCAGTTGATAAGGCCTGACCTTTAACTTGATTAACTGAGGTTAATGTGGTTTCCTAAAGTAAATGAATTCAATGTTGTTAGCTTTCCGTAGTAGTTCGTAGAAACCAAATAACTTTAGCTTTTATAGAATTAAACATAAATTTTTTTTTCCAAATTATGAATACAATCTTTGCTAACGTCAATTCAAGAACAACAGAATTTTGGAGATAAACAAGGTAATCATTTTATAGAATTAAACATAAATTTGTTTTCCAAACTATGAATACAATCTTTGCTAACGTCAATTCAAGAACAACAGAATTTTGGAGATAAACAAGGTAATCATTTTATGTAAACTAAAGAACACAGCAAAATTTGTAATATTGTGTTACCGTCTGTATGAACATTTACATAATAATAATAATAATACATTGAGATATGGTGCACCTATGTATGTAAGTTAACCAAGTTTGCTAATTCCTAAGCCAATAAAATCCATGCCAAAAAAGAAGGACATTTTTAACTTTGTAGCTGCAGCCTGCACTGATGCAGCGGCTATGTTCACGTATGGGTTCTTCGTCGTTCTTCGTCTACATGCAGCCATGCTGTCTTGTGTGAATCGTATGGCTTTCTTTCAACAAGGATTAATGTCATGATGTCATTGAGCTGCTAAGCACATAAATTGGCCAAGAAACACAAATTACTAAGCATTTTTGTTTGCAAGCATCAATACTTGCTGCTATATTGCCGTGTGGCAAAAAAAAGAAAGATGTTAAGAGCACCCGTGCTCTATCAAGTCTATGGGAGCACACACAGACACGCTAAAATTACATTTTGAGATAATTGATTTTAAGGTTTTTGTGCTCCCATTAAAACTTAAAATCATAAAAGGTTGAAATTTGACTGATGAAATATAGTTGAATATTGTTCATTTTTAAATCAAAATAATATTTTAAAAGTTATTAACATTTGTATGCAAATTGCAAGTGAATTTTTAGTTAACTTCAAATTGAAGTTCATTTAGTAGGCCTATGACTGTGCACAATCTCTGGCCAGTCATTCACATTGGTATCGCAATGTTTGTTGATTGGTGTGTCACTGTCAGGATAAAGCAGGCCTATATGTATACTTTTTTAAATTTAAATATTCATTTATTGTAAATGCTAGAAATTTATTCAACGTTGTTTCTTAAATATACAAAAAAATTAAAGAAGCTACTTATCCCGACACCACCACCCAACAAGCATTGCAATACATTGCATATTCTATTAAAAATATCTAGCAAAATGTTAAGTCAACCACCAGACAATCTGATGATAAACAACGCGCCCGACTGGCCAAGTCTACAGCTGGCTAGGTTAGGCTAGCACTACGCAGTAGTCATGGTAGCCTTTAGTCAAGTCCCACGCGCTTAACTGGACACGTGACACACCCCGGATGCTGACACGTAAAAGACTAGCACGAGCGGCGAAGCTGCAAGGGCCTTTACCATCTCGTGGAGAACGCTTATGTTTTTCTTTACATTTGTCTACCGATTTGGTAGATATGCATAGGGCCTAATGCATTACCCGTTGTGAATTGACCAATGAAAATGCAGAATTACTAACGTAAATCAGCTGTCGTGTGGCGCCAGACAGCACGCGCGCCATGGCGTGCGTGCTGTTGCTGGTAACCGCAAACCACCGTTAGAGATGATTGGTTTATATTGCTTGATTTATATTACGTGAATAAATGAATAAGTGATTAACTCCACGAGATAGTAAAGGCCCTCGCGGCTTCGCCGCTCATGCTAGTCCGGATGGTCCGTCTATAGGCGCGTGGGACTTGACTAAAGGCTATAGTCATGGTAGTGTAGCTTGAGTAACTCCAGCTGACATGCTCATATTCAACATGTGAATGAATATGAGCATGTCAGCTGGAGTTACTCATGGTACTTTTTGGTTACCACAAAAGTGGAGTTGGGTTTGGAAGTTGGATCCCATGTTCTTTGGGCCTACTTACATTATAATAAATCCGAGTCATGCTCGAATCATGACATAAGAAGACTTCACTATCCAGAGAAAACCACCATTCACTGATCTTGTTACGGTTTGGTTACGGCTCTATGGTTACGGCAAGTGCACTTCCTCAACAAAAAAACCACGACGCAATTTGCAACTAGACTACATGTTGTGTGTGAGTAGTGCAATGTAGGTTGACTTCGACACCACCAGTTGATGGCGCTCTTCAACTTTACCAGTCACCACTTTTGATCACCACTGCTTGTGCTTTCGCAGAGGGACCCGTACCGGGCAAAGTTTCTGCTTTTTCGCTTTAAAACGTGCTTTTATTTGTCCTTTTCGGGTGTTTAATAAAACAAAATTGGGTAATACGCCTGTCGTGTATTCTTAATCGTTGACACTTATTTTCTGTTGAATATAGTTTTTTCCCCAAACTGAATCGGCACAAGGGCGGATCCAGAACACATTTTTTTGGAGGGGTCAATAAAATATTGTTGATCCCCCAAAAAGTGGGTCCAAAAAAATTTGGATTCTAGATGCTCTGTGGTACGATCTGAAGCAATATCTGACCAATTTATCCAAAATGCTTTGAGGAAAAGATGATGGTGTAACGCAGTGCCTGCCTTTATTGCAACGTCAAAAATTGGGTTCGTTTCTGTTTTTTTTTGGGGGGGGGGGATGGCCCCCGTTGGCCCCCCCCCCCCTAGATCCACCCTGAATCGGCATTTATTAGGTAGGCTATAGGATGCGGCCGGCCGGCGGCGTCGCCTTCGTGGCTAGCCCACAGTGCACACTCAGCATGGAGTCCCTATAGGCCTACGGACGTTTCCTACGACTTTCCTCCTGCAATGTTGCTAAAGCTCTTCGTTGACAAACTTCAAATTCACTGTCAGCCAAACTGGTACTTTTACCTTAATAATACTTGCTGTTGAACCTTTGTGAACAATTTCAGTGTCATGAAATTTAGTTCGAAATTCAAAAACGGTGGTGTCCGGAAAGTGGGCACAAAATCGGCCGAGTGTCTTACGTGGCGCACATGAACAAATCTCGGAAAACTGCTAAACCACCCTTAACTCCACTCATATATACCCAACTACAAGTTTGTAAATAATGTTTTTCTTCTTATTTTTGGGCGCTTTTCGGGTTCATTTGTGCACTTCAAATTAAATCGGAAACTGATCACGCCAAGCTAAGATCTCTCTGTTAACTTTGTAACGGGTGAAATTTTAGGTAAAACTTTTGCTCCAGCAAGGCACTAGAGGCGAAAAACTCTAAGTGCGCCTCGCTAGCGCTAGGGGCCGCGCCACATCAGGGGACAAAAATCTTACACCCGGCACTTTTACTTGTAAATGCTTTTCATATATATCAACATTAAGAAGTGACAAAAAATAAGACCTTTATTGCAACTTGACAGTAAGACAACTTCACACTGCCAGCCTTCTTCCCTCCACAATATAAATAAGCATAATGCGCTAATATTTCCCTTATGTGTGTGCGCGCTTAATATTATTGATTAGCCATGCATGCTCTTTAATTATTCACCTTTTCTGCTAACGAATTTTCAATTTGTATGTTTTATTTGAACGGAAAAGGGCAAAGCTACCTTTTTCTATATTGGACGTTTTCAACCCTTTGAAAATACCGTTGTTTTATTACACTCAAAAGATATGCTTGAATTATTGCCGGGTCGCAAATATAAAATTCGAAGTTTGTACAGTAAACATTGCACAACTAAAAGTGGGTGGATATTGTGTTCGATGTCTCATTCAAAATTGAATAATCCATATCGTTAGAGAAATAGCAATTTCAAAACAAGGCTATTTTCGGGGTAAACCTTGAAAATTGTACAGGGAAACATTACAGAATGATGCAGGATTAACCAACCTTAAAACTAGGCTATATGAGCATGAACTGGGTAAAAAAAAAATTGTTTTTGTATACATGTATCCCCTTTTGCAATTTTTTTCTGACTCAATCGATTTTTTTGGGAGGGGGGGGGGCTGAAGTCCTATGCAAGTTTTGACATTGTTTTCGCGAACTGTCAAACGTTTTTCTTGCACAGGGAACGTTGATGTGCAAGAAGAAAGTTTGACAGTTCGCGAAAACGCTAGGTAGCCTAAATGACGAATAACATCACGCAACTCAGCATGGATATTAGGCCTAAGCCTTCCAGAATCGCATGTCAAGCCCGTCTTCAAATCAAACTCCCGCAGGTTCCATATTGTTTCGTACAGAAAAATACTCATTCTTACCTTTAGGGCCTACATAGACGCCATGGATGTCAACACTGCAAGCATTGAAGCAGCCAACGTGTTAAATGTTGGTCCAAAATGGGGAACATAAGCTCAAATTCCGTTTAGATGTAATGATTAATCTCCAGCAATTCAACATTCATCGCACATTGAACGAGTCTATCATTCCCACCCAATTTGCTGGCCTTTTTAACACTCACATTCAAGCATTCTTTTTAGCCCTCATCCGTTGCCTAGTCTCATCGTCAATAGCAGACCGAGTGTGTAACGGAAAGCTTGTGTGCCGAGACGTGATATGTGACGCGTTGCATTGTTTGCATTGGACCCACTGGGGACCTTTATTATTGATTGGCAAGGTTCTTGAAATCAATAGCCGAAGGAAAACAAGTTTGCCTAGTATTTACACATGGGTCACGTCAATTCTGCCTGTGTTTTTGCTTGTTTCTAAATTTGAATGTTACATTTACTCGAATTTTGGATCGACAGCGAAGCATTCTATAGATGTATTGACCTCTATGTTTACTCATGTAAAACAGTTATAACAAATCACACCCAATAACATAAAAATTATTATAAAATCGAGGACCAAGAAAAACAACTTGACCTAAATTTGAAACAAGTTAAACGATAAACCAGCCTGAATATGCATTTGTGTATTTTCGCTAAAATCACATTTATGCCACTCTTTGAAGTAAATCCTAAAAAAAACATGACATTCAACTAAAGAAACTACAAACACATGAAGGCAACATAATGTACAGTTTTTCTACAAGACTTTATTCTATTATCGCAAAAAAGCAAAACTAGGAATGTGTATTACGATGAAATATGATGCACATGGGAATCGCAATGCTCATGTCTTCAGTTTACATCACTACTCATCAGATCAGTAAGCCGGCGTCATGAATGAAAGCAAGAACATGTCTGGTGAGTACGTTTGGCTACACTGCCAACTTGTAATTGCAAGTGTATAATTCTTTTGAAAGAAACATTACAAATTCCACACCATTTGCATATATGGTTTTACCAAAAAGATGAATAACTTAATGATATACAGTTTTTTTTAGAATTATTTAAAATTGTGAAAGAACCAAAGAAAATTGTTGAACCAAAAAATGTTAATAAATATCTACTCACGACCAAATACTCTACATGTACATGAGATAGCATTGATTATATTGTATATGACACTTACAAAACTATGCATTTCAAGTAAACGCTAAAAATGTTAGTATCTGTAAATTAAATATCAAAGTTATAATTCACTAATTTGCATTATTATAAAGCATGGCTCAAAAGAATTTATAAAAAGTTTAAACATTAGGGTGAATTAGCAGATTTCAACAAAAGGTCTGATTTAATACCAGAAGTAAATTGCAAATCTCTTTTCATATAGTTTTTGGGTTTTTGTTTAGTTTAATGCTAAAGCTGCGTTTCCCATTACGTTTTGCATGTATTATCTGTGAGTTTGCATGAGTAATTTGCAACTAATCTTGTGAAATATAATCCAAACATACTGCAAGGTGGTAAACTCTGTCATGAACATCCATTGTTTTTTTTCTCCATATTTGATCACATCTCTTTTATACATGTGTAAGGTTAATAAAATTTCTGTAAATATCAAACTGATATTATAATTTTTTGTCAGTATTCCTCAATAATGCTTCTTGGAAGTGTACAATTTAGTTCATGTTATAAATTCCATCATTTTAAGCATGACCAATGCACAATATTTTTTGCATTGACGAGATAGAATATTTTTGCATAGATTACAGGATGCACCCCATATGCCCACCATTTGCTCGCAAAGATTTTTTTTTTTTACGATTTACCAGAGGAACTTTTTCTAAGAGCATGCATTTAGAGTAAGCAGTTAAATTATTACAGAAACCCATTCCAGGGGCTACATAATTAAAAAAACAAACAAACAAACAAAGAAACAAACACAACTCAGTTACAATACACCTTTCTTTTTCAGGAAGACGGATAATACATGAGACCCTACTCTTATGCAGACTGGGACCTGGAGTGCTCTGAAATGTGCAAAACTAAATCAGGCCAACTTTACTCACTCTTTAGCCAGCAGATTTCTCCAAAACTTCCATTGGGCAAAGAAAAGGTCCTCAGTATTTCACTAACCAAGTTTGCAGACTCAATTCATTTTTTAAAGGAGACATTTCTTTAATATTTTGCACATGGGGGAAAAGTCAAGTGATTTCAAAATGAGGCTTAAGACTAGACTGTTACATGTCCAAACTTGGTCCAACTATTTGAAAAGATGACCTCTTTAGTCAGTGTCATCTGTCTGGTGACTGACTACGGAGAAATGTGTAGTAAATAGAGACTAGTTCCCGGTTCCTGCCACATTTTTCTTTTGGCACAGTTGATTGATGCAGTACTGAAGCTGTGTTGGACTGGTTGTTTCAGGTGCCAGTCAATTTTCTTGAATTGCATGTTTTCAACACCTTAAGTTTTGGGACTCTCATACACAAATTTTCGGACTAGCTGTTACGCAGCAATAAGTTACCTGGGACCATTGGCAATCTGACGAAAGAAATTCAGGTCTCAGACCTCAGGGATGTAAGTGGTCTATCACAATTCTCCAGGAAACGTATTCAAAAAAGTGTACACGTAAATTTGGTGCCAATTGCCAAATACATTATATTCATTTTAGCAAGCCTGAAATTGTGAATATTGCTGGAGGGCTAACAACTCTGGGGACCTTACCTCAATACAGAATGACTTATTACAATGAGTAGGATTGAATGCATACAAAAATTTCAAGGTAGGAGTTTTCTTGGGAGTCGCTTACAAGTCACTGAACTAATCCATCTGCTGTAGTTTAGTTGGCCAGAACCATCTTCACAAATTCTGAAGGAAAAAACAACAACAAAAGGATAGAGGCTTACATGTATGTTACATTTGCAGTCTAGTGACAACAGTATATCATGTCAAAAAGTGTAAAGATCTGGACAAAGATGAAACGTTTCCCAACATTACATCATCTGTTTTTGTTTGAGGCGATACAGTAAACAGTCGGAAAATATTCAATATTTGATCATAAATTCCATTCTCTGCAGATACATTCCTAATATTATTAGGCCAAATTAAAAAAAAGTTAAGCGTCCTGCCTTTTGAAAAGAAGGTAGGGGAGGCCCTTTTTTTTCCACTCTAAAATGGCCGTTTGACCGGGCTATATTTCAAGATGGCCGCCAGGTTTCTTTTTAAAAGGCCATCATTGGACTCACGAAATGACATACCAGCTTTATATGGGCTAAATGCAACAGACACAGAGGCCAACATGATGTCACTGTTGAAAATTTATTATTTTTTTGTTTTTGTTTTGGTGTTTTTAAAGGGAAAAAAGAGGCAGCCTCCAAAAAGGAAGCGGGCAGGGACGCTTAACATGTTTTTATTTTAATTTGGCCTTATGGGAACACTTCGTAATCCACAGCTGTTCCAAATTGGAACATGGTGTATCAGTTTAGAATGGCCTGTCATCCCAACATTAATTTTCACTGTGTGACACCCCCCTTTAAAATTCACACAATTTCATGCAAGTGTTTAATTTCAAGGGTTCACAGAAATAGAAGCAGGACAAATTCAAATGGTTCTGAAGCAAGGATGAATATTTATAAAAAGCACAATTGCGTTTCAGTAATTTGTAGGGACTCAGGAAAGAAAGAAATCTTTACTTGTGCCCACTGCAAAATACTACAAATTTGTTGCTTAAACCCATTATTTGCTGTATTTCCTCAAACTGCACTGCCTGTTAATCCCTGTAACACCCCAAACCACCCACACTGTATGGTTTCATTAATTCATCAGTGAATAAATACAGTGTAATGCAAGAGCTATAAAGTAAAACTAGAATTCAAAGATAAAGGTAAGGATGCCAAGTACAAAGTTCTTTGTTTCTCAGATATGCATCAACCTTTGAAGATATTTTTCCAATTTTCTAAATTTCTGACTACAAATCTGGATGGACTTGGTTATGAGAAAACAAGGCACCCACCCTCATAATTGACATGTCCCTGTTGATCTTCCATTCCTTGAAGAAGATTTGTCACCTCTTCATCCGACAACTTCTCTCCTACAAAATTACCAACAATTATTTCTTTAAGTAACCATATACCTCAAATGATGTTACCCAAGAAGGGGTAAAATGTATTAATCAATTACAAATTATCACCCCTTCTTATACAGTTGGGAAGAATTCACATCTTCCCCTAGGACTGATTATTAGGACCTACATGTAGATTGATGTGTTAAATGCATGACATCTCGAAAACCCTGTACAGTCGACCTTCGTTAACCCTTACTCTCTGAGGGTAGTTTACTGCATGTCAGTTGGTTATGCCAATGCCCTCCAGCTGCAGTTTTTTGGCAGATAACAAGTCTTAACAGTGAAGGCTCCAATTGGCAGGAGTTGGAGGCCCTGGAGGGTGCCTGATACTGACCAGCTGGGGGCACTCACTTTGTTATCAGAGGACTCTCATTGTTCTCTGTGGCATGTATTGGAGTGCCTGTCCAGTTACCCTTGAAATGACATGGCAGATATTGGAGGGCCATGCAAAAAACATAGGAGATTTTCTTGAGGCACATATTGGCATGCATTGGAGGGTCAAGTAGGGTAAGGGTTAATACAAACACTGTTAAGACAAATTCTGGTTAGAGCAAACATAAAGCCTTGTCCCCACTGTGCATTTATGTGCACAATGAATGGGACCTCCTCTTAATACAAAATTCTGATATAACAAACATTTTGGCTTGGTCCGGTTGAGTTAGTATAAATGAGAGTCGACTGTAATATCCTCTGTAGTTGTAATGCCTGCATCAGGTTTTTGTTGTACCATGACAGTCTTAATATTTTTGCTCAGAACCTTTCGTTTATCTTTCTGTGTACTTGGGCCTCAAGTCCCATATAACGTAACAATTTGAGGAATCGGGGAAGATTTGAGTTAAGTTAGTGAACCCAGAGATTATAGTTTCATTTCTCGTTTTGGATTTTTGATATTTCATCTCTAATTCTTTTTTTTTAGTTTCTGATAAACAAAGGCTGGAACTCTACCTAATGAATATTTATTCTACCTGTGCTTACCTAGACTAGTTAGTACATGTCGAAGCTCTGCTGCACTGATGGTACCGTTACCATCCTTGTCAAACACTCGCAGTCCTTCTGTAAAGTCATCAACATTCCCTTGCTCCTTGATCTTCTGAGTAGAGGCAAGGATTGGCAGGAACTCTTCAAAGTTAATTCGGTGATCTGGAAAAAGAGATAGTTGCATTGTCTTTCGCATTAATGGACAGTCCTGAGGATTCAGACATGAGAATGGTGTCTGGACATTAGGCATAAAATAATAAATCGGAACATTTAACCAAATAACAACAAAATTGCAATGGGACACAGTTAAACAAATAAGGAAAACTTTGGAAGAATCTGTTAATAAGAATTAACCAAAGTCTCACTTTTTTTGTAATCTAGGATAAACATTTGTCCAAAAAAACCCCTGGTTACTGGAGAAAAATTGAAAGAGGAAAAAGTGCATCACGTTAAGGAGATGCACAATGTTACATGCACATGTAGGTGGTACAACCAACAATATCAAAGTTGCCTTGTATATTAACGTGAGCACTGATCATTTTTGAATGACAAGGATCAACCAGCAAGTGATATTTGTAACTATTAACTTGTTAGTGAACATATGAGGAGTTTGTTACCGAATGTGATAAATGCCATTTTGTTCCCATTTAGAATTCTGCCCCTCCTGGTTGCCTAAAGTCAGCTTCGACGACTGTTATATAGTTTAACACAATTTAAGAATGTACTTTAGAAACAGCTGCTATACTGTGTATATTCAAAAGGTTTAAATAACTGTGCAATTTATTCACTTTTTTCAAATGGATATATCAGGTTTTTTTTGGAAAAAGACTCTTCATATGAATCAAATTCCATAGCTAGCTGCATGATACCAAACTGTGTACATCTGCTCACCTTTAGGGAATCCTTGTGCGAATCTCTTGATATCTGCCTGTGTTGGGTTCTGTCCCAATGCCCTGATCACAGCTCCTAGCTGGCTGGTCTCAATCTTGCCATCTCCCTTCTTGTCAAACAGGGAGAAGGTATCTCTGTACTCTGTGAGTATACAAAAGAAAAAACAATACAAGTGTAAGAATGTAATATAACTGTGTGATTTTTGAGATTACAAACTTGATTCTCACTGTGAAGTGGTCCACGTTGTTTTGTATGCGTGGTCAATTAGAAAACAAATTTTGCAAATCTTCAACATTGTTTTAATCTTTCAAAATCAAAATGGCATTTGGCAGCATGCAAATTGACTGTGTATATGTCCTTGTCAAATGAAGTTAGCATGGCTCCATTTCACTCAGTGACAAAATGCAAACAAAAGTCCATTGTAAATCACTCCTGATGCAGGGTGCCCCACCACTTTGATTTCCGTCTCCACATTTTTCATTCCTCCCACCACTTTTTACTGTAATTGAATTTGGGGCTTGGACCCAGACCAACTCAGACCCAGATCAACTCGGACACAGACCAACTCGGAGGCAGACCAACTCAGAAGCAGACCAACTTAGTTTATTCGTTTTTGATTTAGTATCAGTGAAGTTACCATGTGCATGATCGGTACTGTCAGAATTATGAGCGGAAACCAGTTCAAGCTGCCCTAGTTCCCGACTCCCTATTGTCCTTCAAAATGCATTTGTGTTCTCAAACGATAACCAGTCTACATATTATCATAATCGATGCATCGAGCGGGGTAATGGAATCGCGCTCCGAACCATTTATGAATGCTGGGCACGACCACAATGCGTCGTTCAAAAAAGTCGGAAGTTTCACATGTGTCCACGACTGCGAGGGGAGCTCTCGAAATTGAACGGGAAATTTCACTTTCATTTAGATCGTAAGTAAACATTAGTACCTTGACCTTAATCAGCGATCTCTACTTGTATCTCAGGCAGTCCTTCTGATTTGAAAATCACAGGCGTGTGGAAAAAGGTACACCTGGACTTTTCTAGGTGTGTGATTTTTCTAGGTGTGTGATTTTCTAGGTGTGTGATCTGTGGTCCAGGGAAATTCAGGCGTGAAACTATTCACACTTCTTGGGAAGCTTTTAGGTGTGCGATGGTGTGGGGGTGATCACACGCCTCAAATCAGAAGGACTGCTCAGGTGGCGTATCTAGTAATTCTGTGGCCATTTTAAGGGAAAGAATGTTGCATCCTGACGCCACTTTTTGCTTCATATATTATCTCAATGAGGGTCAGTTGTTGCAAAAATGTTGAAAAGATATGAATCTGGGACTGAGAAACATTTCCAATTTTATTAGAAAATACTTTGAAGATGGACTCAACTCTCCATAGACTTTGTGCACAACCAAAAAAGTGGTGTCTGGATACTACATTCTTTCCATTTTGAGGGTGATGTTTTCGTTGGCAAATGATAGTGGTTAGGTTGTAACTCCCAACGCGGCAACGCCATGTCTAACATGTGGCTTGGACCATTCTATCGCCAGACCATGTCCAAATGTTAAAAAAGCGATAAAGGTTGGGTCCAAGTTACTTGGACTATTTTCGACCGGGGGAGAATCCGACCACTTGCTATTAAGCACAAACCTTGGGTCTGACTAGGGTTGATTCTACAAAATGTATGCTGCAAACAAAGTACTTTTACCCAGACTGACAACTTGAGTGCTGAAACACGTGCAAAATTACTACTGACGTTTTTTTACTCACTATTCGGCTAACTAACACCAACCCAACATATACATCAAAATGCTATAGTTGAGAGCATGTCGCCTGCGAAATTTGAGACCTTCAATCTAATTTTAAGGCAAGTTAATGGCAGTTTGATATCCATCCACATCGTTCTCCATGCTCTAGAAACATTTGTGTGATTCACAAAGTATTCTGGGTAAAATGTAGGAAGTAGCTTGCAGCTTACTTGTTTCTAATCAATGGCCAAAAGAACATAGTGGCGTAGCGCCCTCTGTTAAAAAATAAGCCATTCTACAGTGTGAAGATGTATCAACAAGAGGGCACTGTTTTTATCTACACGATGAAAATATTATTATATTTGCTCGGAGAGCTCCGATAATTTTGCACGCAAATGACCCTGGGTACTCGTACAGGGTCATTTGTCAGGTTAAAATCTAATTGCTACACGTTCGTATGGGTCTTCATTGATGACAAATTTCGTTGAAATGACACATCCTGAACACGCGGACAGGCAAATTTAGATTTCTAGGTGAGTACTCAACATCCATACGAAATTATGTATAGTGGATCGATTTCGCTAGATTCGAAAATATACAACGCCACCTACGTTCATGGGTCTACTTTACGACTAGGATCCTCAAGTTTGGAAATTTCTGTCCTGGACACATGCTGGATGAGAAGATAATCTCTATCAAAATCGGTAGCAAAATCGTTATATCAGAGTTTAGCGTTTTGGGGAGCATTGGCGGTCTGGCCGTACTACAGAGCTAGCGATAGTACTGTACGGCCAGATGCAGTCACGGCACGATCCCATCTAGTCCGAAAATTTGGGACTCTCAATACTGTGTATGAGACTGAGAGTCCCAAAACTTAAGGTATCCATATCGTGCAAAAGTTTGTGCTGCATAACAAAACCAGTGTGAATCAAATTTGCAAGCTTCTTACTCACTACAGTTTCTTCAATAATCCCCGAAACTTTTGCCTCGCAAAGTTGCTGTTGTGAGCATTGCATCACCAAAAATTCAGCTTTTAATTCTAATTTTGCAGAGAGATATCAAAATCCAAACGTGAGACATCACGTTGATGTGTACTGCAATGCATTGTGCAAAAAGACTCCTCAGCTATAACATTTTCATCGTGTAGATAAAAGAATACAGGTCAGCTCGTACGCGAGCCAACTCGTACGCGACCAACTCGTACGCAGGACAACTCGTACACGGACAAACTCGTACGCGGGCCAACTCGTACGCGTGATAACTCGTACGCGGACCTACTCGTACGCGAGCCAACTCGTACGCGTGAGTATAGACTAGACTGAAACCGTTGGTTCGGGCGTGTAGGAAATTAGGGTCGGTCAGTTGTCCGGCACATTCTTTTTTTCTTAAAAGGGGATAATTTGGGTTACTGAGTGGTCCCAATTAGTTCAGTTTTAAATCAGCTTTTTTTGCTCATAACAAAAAAGTTATGATTTGTTTTCCCGGACCACTCGCACACTGTCGATGTCTGATCCTGGCTCACACCGTACGCTATACGACAAGATATTGCCACGTAGTGAGAATTTAAATCGTGTAATGTCGCCCTCTATACAGCGCCCTCTTGTTGATCTGAGTGAATGCAAAATGTTTCATTTTTTAACAGAGGGCGCTATGTTCATTTGTCCATCGATTAAAAAACAAGTAAGCTGCAAGGCTCTTGCTGCACCTACCCAGAATACCTTGGGAATCAGACATACATTTCTAGAGCATGGAGAATGACGTAGATGGTTTTTGAACTGCCAAAAACTTGCCTTAAAATTGGATTTAAGGTCTCAAATTTCGCAGGTGACATGCTTGCAACTATAGCATTTTGATGTATGTGTTGTGTAAGCATTAATTAGCAAAATGGTGAGTAAAAAAACGTCACTTGTAATTTTGCACGTTTTTATGCACTCACGGTCCCAGTCTGGATCCCATCACACAATGAATGAATAAAAAGCACCGGTCACAAACGGTAAAATGATCGACACTTACCGTTCTTTTGGTCTTCTGACAGCGCCTGCAAAGGAGGAAAGGTAAACATTTCAGAACAAAGTAAACACAGTGTAAACAAAATGTAAACATCGTTAGAAGTTAAAGAGGGGAAAACGGACCAAAAAAACTTACCATGTCGATCGGAATAATTTGACAATTCAGCTAATCAGGCACAATTTACTAAAACGTACCAACTAAATTGTTCATGTGAGCGATTCTCTAATGTCGAGGTGTTGTAAGTTTCGAGTATTTGGTTCTGTGAGGTATCGAATACCTACCGCGATAAGCGCAGCCGACATCAATCCATTGTGGGGGATGTTCCTAAAATTGAACCGTTATTATTCGAAATTTTCAAAACAAACTTGTTACATTGACATTTCAACAATGTTACAGTCAAAAATAGCTCATTTCAAACAAACAAATTGTGATCATAATAAAAGCACGCCCGAAGGATTATCCGATTCAGCATTGCGTTCAATCTGCACTTGGTACATAGTATAGCTTGGGGATGTGAATGTTGGTTTATGAGTTTGGGGAAAACCCTTGTATTTCTTTGATAAGACAGTAAATCCCTTCCCTGAACATGCAACTCGATTTTATTGTTGCCAAGGGAGGAGTTGGGGGGGGGGGGAGGGGTCAAAGCAAATGCCTGCATGCTAAAATTCCCTACTGCCGGCAGTTACACCCCCTCTTGATACCGGATCAGTGGCGTAGCCAGGATTTTTCTTCAGTGGGTGGGTGGGGGGGGGGGGGGGGGGGGGGGGCGCACATGGGGGCAAGGGCAAACCTTTTATCATTTTTCGAGGGTGGGCAGGGACATTTGCCCCCCCCCACCCCATTAAATTAACAGCAATATAACTTAGCGCCTCTTTGGACGCTAAGGGGCTCTCCTTTTTTTAACAATTATTTAGCACTACAAAGCCGTAGGGTTAAGGGGGTAACGCGATTAAAATCGAGTAGTAAAATGTAATCATCTACATCCCCTTTCTATTTAATTATTCTTTTTAAAAAACACACTTCCTGGGAAATTAATAAATGTACAGTCTTCCGTGGGAGTCCGGTGAAGCGTGAATATCCGACTCCATGAAATGCGAGGAGTACGATAATATGCTATTTTTTGGATCATAATGGAAGAGTTACCTGTCACGTGCGAGGGATTAATCAATAAAAGGGAAAAAGAGGTCCGATTTTCATAGGAGTCGGAGTTTCATATGACACCGGCTCTCTAGTATCGATTTTGTACTGACAGAGTATCGATACCACTGCCCTTTTATTAGAATCCATCACACGTACAGTACTAACGATTTAGTCAACGACATCAGTGGTCACGCCCCAAAACTTGGCATACCGAGAAGTTCCGGTGTGTGTGGTTTCGATGAGTCCAACGTAAAGGAATTTCATAAATTCAATGGTTTGCAGGCGTATTGTCAGAACAAAGTCAATGTAATGAAAGAAGACAATCGAGTCTTTAGATACATGTCATTGGAATATCAGGTTTTTTCTTTGAGCACAAAGGTTGATGAAAAGTTCGTCCCGGCATGGGGGAAGGGCACGTTAAGTCATCTCCTGTGGTCATGGTGGTAGTTGATATTTCTGGAATTTCTGAAAAATAATGATATGCATTTAATCAGTAAAGGCCTTAGTACGATTTTTTTGAAGTTTTGAAACCACTTTCCAGTAAACCGTGAAAAAAAGGAACATTATGTTTGTTGAGACCATGCCCACTATATAGTAGGCCTAATGCAAGAGGAAGGACACACTTAGAGCATTAGTTTACGTTGCGGATGGGGTTTACGTGGTGTCATCTTGTATTAGGCCCCCAAGTCTAGGCCTGCATGATACCCCCCCCTCCCCCCGCTGCATGCCAAAAACAACAACAAAACACCAGTCTCGAAAAATCACAAATTACGCCTGGTGACTTTTGAATAGGCCTACCTTGCAATTAATGTTTATTGAAAAGTGATTTGAAAATAAATTAACACTCCCATTATAATTAGCATTTAACTCAAAGGAAACATTCTGACAATAGGCCTAAATGGAAACATATTTCAACTGTGAATTAATGCGAAAAATTATGGGTAGGACCTAAATTCGATTTTAAATTGCTAATTAACTTTCCTGAAGTACGGTATACTTAATTTTGCAGCAGTACTTTTGGGCTGTGAGCTGAATGGTGAACATGTAATGTAAGTCAACTATACACATCTTGCAAAGATTATCTTATTTTGTTCATGATATCAAGTCGTGAAAGGCTCATTGCAATAAACAAACCAAGATACAAAACACAATTGGTATCACCATAATTAAGCCGTCTATACGTGTGCAAATGCAATTTCTTTCTTCCAAAACTTTTAATTTGTGCTGTCCGATCGACTCTAATTCAGATCAAAAAAATACTGAGAACTATAGAAATGAAAAGGGACGCCCTATAACCAGCATTTAAGGGAAAGAGACTGTACACGGCAATAGCTATAGTTCCCATGACCTTTGCAGAGCGGAACTCAATTCTTAAAAAATATTAAAAGTTTTCTCTCATCTGAATAATCGCTAAACCGCAGCATCTTGACTTTTTGTATTAAAATTAAAGAAAACAGCGACAAAAACATTGAATACGGCGCAGAATAAAGAAGCAAAAAGTATATGCCGACGAGTTTGCCTGAATAATATGATCTTGTATAGGAGGCAAGCCTGAAGAACCAAACTCAGGCCTAAAATGTTTCCGCCACAAAGTTATAACTACAGCCTTTTATTATAGTCACGTGAGTCCTGCATTTTGCACTATATAATTATAGATTTATATAAAAAAAATCCCTATTGCGTTTTTAAAACCTTTTATTTCTGGAGAAAATGTACCCGCTGTAATTTATTCGTCGAGGAGAACGTCAGTCACAGAATTATTTACGACCTCGTTTGAACAGAAAATGAATTTCTAATCGCAAACCTTCCGCAGCGTGGAAAATTCTTCACTTGTTCCCACTCTTCACTGAGTGAAGTTTCATGAATTGTTAATAATATCCAGCTATAATGTGGCGCCTCTGCCTTTGCAATGTACTCTCCTAAATGTAATTTATCTGAATAATTCAATTATGAGGAGTACCATCTCGAGTTAAAAAGGGATGGGATTTATTTGCAGGTAAACAAGACCCGACTAATAAAAATTCATCAATCACTGCAGATGAGTGCCATTAACATTAAAGATGTAGAGTGTACTATTAATATCTTGGACGTGAAATCACAAATGTTGATTTAGGCTTTTGCTCGTACACAGAGATGATAGGAGTGATTCATCTGCCACTAAGCGTCATCGCACTGAGTACCGATTTACTAACTTTAAGCGTCCGCCTAAACTTTGTTTGAAGACACAAGAACAAATTTCAAAAGGAAAACGAGAGCCAAGACGTATATGGTGCCCGTCCTCATTCACAAAGGCAAATCTCCCAACGTAAAGTCGTCAGTGACTCTCATCAAACGGCGTAGTCGGTTCCTTGCCACGATGGGAACAATTTATGGCCATTCCCCCCCCCGTTTTTTAATTCTTTCCTCTTTTCGATTTGTATGTGGGTGTGTGTGTGTCAAATATTGAGGTATTCCAGCGTGAGAAAGGTTGTAAAGTTTAACCATTCATCAAATGACTGAGCGTGATTTAAGGTGGCTTGGTTGCTAGACCTTTTAAAATTCTTACTTTCCTCGAATGCTCTCCCCCTTCTGGTTGGCAGACTATGCACATTACGTTTTGAGGCAAACCAATGGTTGCGTAACAAAACCTGGGAAATTTCATTGCAAAGTTATCTTTTTACAGAGTTGAGCTCTTTAAAACTTCCGTCATATTTTTTTGTTTGTCTTTCCGTGGGAGATCAGCAATACATGTCGTACTTTGCACATGAGCACAGTGACACTGCCCTCATCGACTCTACACCAAACGGCCATGGCGCCCTCTACATGCCATGTACACTCCGCCCGTCTGCCTTCGGTTCATGGGCGCCAGGATAGTCGCACAAGACCAGTAACAAAGGTCTCTTTATGAATTGATCTAGGAATTTTAAAACAATACTACATGTGTCTCTGAATTATTTCACAAGGTACATGGAAATAGAAAAAAATACCCCCCCCCCCCAAAAAAAGATGCTGACATACGGTTTTACTTTCAGCTGATGATTATACCAAAACTTACTCTTAGAGTGAATTGTCTTCCACAGTTACCCTATAATAGCCCCACATTGCAAAACCCCCAATGTGGCGTTTTAAAGAGCATCACTTCAAAAATGCACAAATTTCGAAGGTCACATCATGGGCATTTACCAAATATAAATTCCAACGATGGCCAAAATCACAGCAAGAATTTACTGCTTGTAGTTTTACAATCTGCCACTTTCACAGCCCTCATATTACTTCATAACTGACGGGAAAATGGAAGCGTACATAAGAATTTACCAAGTGCAAAGATTAGTCCTATACTATTGTTTAAACATGAGGTATTTCCCTCGAGCACGATCCAACATGTCTGCCATGAAGCCGTCAGTATCTATCACTGGTCCACTCACAAGAAATCATGTCTTACTTCTTGGCTTTGTAAGTGATATTATAGCTAACTTCTGTACGACAAAAGAGTCCACTTAAAAACACGAGGACAACAGCAGTAAAATGCGAGCACTTAGAGTCCTACCTATTAGGTGTTGGTTTGGACTGAAGTCTGCGTGGTAGGAAACCGTATGTACAATGTACATGCAGATACAGCAGAAAGTGGCCAACAGCCGTTTCCATGACAACCCTGAAGATATTTTCTTAGATGGATGCTTCTCTTGCTTGCCTGACCTAGATCCCGACCGGCGCGGTTTCAAATTTCCTTAGATGCCACAGTTGTCTGAAGTGGGGTAACAAAGAGAAACAGGCTGTGTGGGAAAAGCATTCTGCCTCATTTCACAGTGCAGAAATGGACGCAAAATCGCAACGAAGATGTTCTCATAACATAATTGAATAGACATAATGCGTTAAGGCGGAGTCATGGTAGTGGCTTTGTATCGCTGGGATAAGCTTGGGTAAACCTTTTGTTCACTCGTTGTTACTTAATTACAAAGAACGCTCTCTAAGAGTAAGACCCCATGCATGCATCCGGGTCTTTATTATAATGAAAGTTGTATTGCGCATGAAAGTTTGTGTGATACATGTGTGAACATTTTGTCACTTATACTGACAGTCGAATATAAAGTTATGTTGATACGATTTCCTAACGATACAACAGGAA